GTGTCAACAAAGTCCCGATGTTTGTAGATACCCATTCTACCCAAATCCCTTGCGTGATCTGGTCCATGTACACTCACAATGCAGACTCAATTAACCGTTTAAGTTGTATTTTCAGTCAGGTCACATTTTGATTTGGGCTTGCCCTTAGGTAGGAATAGCTCTAGTGTCCTTGAAAGTCTGTGTCATGTGTGTAGACCTAATGTTTCGTAAAAGGCGACTATGCTTGTCGTTAGAGGCGACTAATGGGATCAGTTGGCCAGACTCACTGACTTGGTTGATGCATGGCATTGTATCCCAATTGTGTGGACCGATGCTCATGATGTCAATCACTGGATTGTCTGGTCCAGACTCGATTATTTACAGACCGCCGTCATACAGCTGGAATATTGCTGAGTGCGGCGTTAATCAACAAACAGACAATTTTTAACCTTGGTTGCTGGGAACCCAGAATCTTCATGTGGTTGAAGTTAGTGCAGCCTGATTAATAGACAACTAACCTATGTCTTGTAGCCAGGTCCTGATTCCAGATAGCGCTACGATTGTCGTATGTCTGTGTTTAGCACTACCTTAACAATTGCTCATGCTCATCCTTTTCACCATGCGGCATGGTATCTCAGTGAGCTAGCACTATAAATCGGCATCAGTCCGGACTAGTATCAGCAGCCACACAAACACACACACGTACATGCACGTCACTATATAAGTGCAATAATCTTGGACGTGACGTTAAACCCCATTTTACCTCTCACACACTCACTCACTCACTCATTCACTCACATTAAATTGACATTTTGGTTTTAATGGAAATACTATTCAATGCATCCCTAAAGCGAACTCACTCGTTCACTCTCACTCACTCACATGCCATGACAAATTAACTATAGTAATATGAAGGAATCGGTTGTTCTTTAACTTCTTTTGAGTAGTATATATATACAGGTGTTGATCATGGTAGTTAACACTATATGGTGTTGTGAACTGTAGTGCACTGTCAGCAGTGTGGGGTATACGCAGGTTATTGACCTGGCCTGCCTTCCACCACAATAGACAGCCAACTTATTCTGTTCATTATACTGGTGATAATCTGGGGAATGTAATAACAGGGATATGAACTACATGGCCGTGGAAGGCTATTGAAATGCTGCACACCCCATCCCACGATACAGGAGAGCCTCAACTGTGTCTCAATGGAAACCAGATGGAAAATATTGCCCCTATTATTGAAACCTTTCCTTGATATAAAGTCCATAGAATATGCAAGGTGGTACAGACATTGGATAGAGTTGCAGGTCTTGGTTGAATTGTTGACTTTGTAGTACTGATTGATAGCGAGGAAAGAAGGTGTGTGTTTAATATGCTAGGTCTGTGATCTCTGCCTTGTGCTACGGGATGTACACGCATCTACTTGAAGGTGGAGTTGAGTTGGTGCACTGAAGCCTCTCATGCGTAAAGTCTGTTATAGGAGTCACAACAGGCGTCTGTTGTAATAAGACATGACAGTAAGCACATAGGCAGGGAGAAGCAAGCTTGATGACCCTGCAACCACACTTCTCCAGCATCCACATGTGCCATCGACATGACAACACTTGAATGCTGCCTGCCTCTGAAGCCTGTGTAGGTGCATTGCACGTCTCCTGCTGCTCGTGGTACTTGAACCAATCCTACAGCCTGTGTTGGCCTTGCCCCGGAGTGTTGTGGGAGGAGTGGGTGATAGTAGTGTAGTGTGATACCGTGATACCGTATTCCCCACCCAGCGTGTACAGGACACTGTATTCCCAATGTGGAGTATTATATGTGACATTGTATTACTACCTGGAGTTAATGCTGTATAGCACTGAATACCCACCTGGTGTATAACACTGTGTCATGTACTGGATGACACAGTGTTCCAAGATTGGCGTATAGCACTGGGAGATAATACTGTAGGACACAGAATTCCAAGAGTGGAATATATGGGAAATATTAACTGTATGAAGGTGTGGCCGCTGGGAGAATTTGACTGGTGTCTATGAAAAGATAAGATCTGTTGGTCTCAATATTCACTGCTGGAGTATAAGTGGAAAATACACTGAATGACAGTGTCCCTTGTGGGAGTATTTTACTGGAGTATATTCTGTTTGACACTGTCTGATGTTGAATTCCCAGCTTGAATATAAAACTGGAATACAAGTGGAATATAGGCTGATTGACAGTGTCCCCTCAGCTGTATTACATTCAAGTATATGCTGTCTGACACTGCACTATCTGCTGGAGTATAACACTGGAGTATATGCTGTCTGACACTGTTTGACACTGCATTCCCTGTGGAGTATAACACTGGAGTATATGCTGTCTGACACTGTATGACTGCATTCCCTACAGGAGTATAACACTGGAGTATATACTGTCTTAACACTGCCTGACACTGTATGACTGCATTCCCTGCAGGAGTATAACACTGGAGAATATACTGTCTTAACACTGCCTGACACTACATGACTGCATCCCCTGGAGTATATACCGTCTTAACACTGCCTGACACTGTATGGCTTCATTCCCTGCTGGAGTATAACACTGGAGAATATACTGTCTTAACACTGCCTGACACTACATGACTGCATCCCCTGGAGTATATACCGTCTTAACACTGCCTGACACTGTATGGCTTCATTCCCTGCTGGAGTATAACACTGGAGTATATACTGTCTTAACACTGCCTCACACTGCCTGACTGCATTCCGTGCTGGAGTACCTACCATGTGTAGCCATGGATTACCTATGTGGCAGACCTGCCTGATCGGACACACCATGTGATGACAACATTCGCAGCACAGTATTGTACATTGACAGGGACGCCTGGTAGATGGGAAATTTCATGCGCAAGATTTATGAAGCTAATGATGCCCTCGTATGCAAAATTTCTTTTTTGTATTTTCTAGTATTTTTCCTCCAGTACTTTTCACTCTTGCATGTGTAACATTGAGTCAGTTGTCATATATCTGAAGATCTATGTCAAGTGGACAAAGCTCCTATTTCATTGTTTGTGGGCGGGACACTGGGGTAAAAAGGGCAAGGTGGTTCAAGGGCCCAGTTTGCCCCATTTCAAATGTCAAACTTTAAAGTTGTGAAAAACTCTTTTTCAGATGGCTGACAAATAGCCTTCCTTGTTACACAACCAAATTTTGAACTTCTGATGTGATTGAATACACAATTATGGCTAAAATGCCTGAAAAAAGCAGATTTTCCAAACTTCAAGAGAAGATCTGAGTATGAGAAAGCCTGTGAATTTCTAGCCTTATGTTTCTGCTGTTGTCTACACCTTTTCAGTCGTTTAACCTCAATTTTATTATGTTATTTCACGCACGTCTGGAACCATGTAGTTTTGTGAGGGGGATAGTGTGAAGCATTACTGAATGAATGTGGATGTTTCTGTCTTTTGTGTAACATTGTAATAGACAGAAGGATATTAACCTGGTATTCAACAGCCTCTCTTCCCCTACCTGGAGCGGGTCAAAGTGCATCCTCCAAAAACAGTGGTAGGGGAAGTAGTCTTATGTCATTGCCCCATATTTACCTTTGAATCATTTCCCCTTATAACATTTGCTGATCAATAGCCCATCAAAGGTGGGTGATTAATTGACGCGATCGTGCTGGCTGAATGATTTCATAATGCATTCCGTAGACCCCGGTGTCCATTGTGTTTTCAGTTTCTCTCTTTCTTCTGTCATGTTGTGTGCACCTTATGATGTGCCAAATACTTGGAAATCACATAATTCCTGCGAATATCCTAAATCTTTTCTATCACTGCCATAAATTCTGTATCTTGGCTGTCATCACACTATAAAAAAATTCAAATTTGCAACAGAAGTCCTCTTTGCTGTCTGTGTCAAATAATCCATAATCAGTTGTGCAAGAAGTAGTATAGTTCATATCAGCAGATGCACATGAAGTTGAAGTGAAATTGGATCAGTATCATGAGATAATAGAAATATGTTTTCTGTTTCATTCTGACTATAACTCGTAGATCAGATGTATCAGTGAACGAGTTGGGTTTTGTGTCGCTTCAATATCAATATCATGTTCTGGAGACTACTATTCTTAATAGGAGACACCAGAAATGGGCTTCACACATTGTACTCCTGTGGGGGTTCAAACCTGGTCCTTCTTCATGACACGGTTAAAGTGTTCGCTTGTCACGTCGATGACCGGGGTTCGATTCTCCACATGGGTACAATGTGTGAAGCCCATTTTTGGTGTCCCCTATCACTGCCCAAACCCAACTGGTTGATATAGCTGGAATATTGCTAAAAGCAGCATAAAACATTACTCATTCTTCATGACACACACTCTTTAGCCATAAGCTGCCAAGCCCTGTAGGATAGATATATCAGTGGATACTTCAGGTACAAAAATGTAGCCACTTTTGCCGTGACTGTACCGTTATAATGGACATGACAACATAGATACTACAGTTTCAGTAATAAAGCCACTTTTGTCATGTCTGTACTGCCATATTGGACGTGACAATATCTTTTAAGGCTGGGACGGGGTACTCGGGTACTCGGGTCATGAGTAGGGCTCGGGTACCCACAGGACTACCCGGACCCGTGGTTAGTAACGTGATATATTGTTTGATGACAAAATTTATCTTTGTTACATTATAAGTCACTAATGTTCCCATTTCTTTCTGACAATGCACCCATTCCTTCTGACTTTTATATGTTTGAATAAAGATAAAACTTCATGCAGTAAACTTCAGTGTATGCATGACCAGATCGTGTATCTAAATACATTTTGCCAGGGCTACGGTCAAACTTTTCCAAATGGGACAGTTTGTACCCATCTCTATATATCTACAGCGGGTACCCGGTCAGGGTCGGGTAATAGGGTGGTGGGTACCCGGGTAGTAAATTTGGACTCGTCCCAGCCCTAATATCTATACTTCAGTGTGTGTATGTTTTGATCTTCTTTTTGGCCTTGAGTGGAGCAAAATGTTCAGGAATATTTTTGTGTGTTTTCAGGCTGAACAACATCGTGAGTTTCGAGACCGGATGCGAGAAGCAGAGTACCTTGGTAAACGCCGCCCCACCTTACTGCCGGAGTACCATGCGCAACCTGCTGTTTCGGCCGCCGAGAGGGACAGGTAGGACCCCCCTCATCTTGAGTCTTCTGGGTTGGTGCCTCATATACACCCTGAAACAAGAAATCTTTGACACACCCAGTAGAATAGGTCTTCAGCAACCCATACTTACCGTAAGAGGCGACTATGTTTGTCGTAAGAGGTGACTAATGGGATCGGGTGGTCGGGCTTGCTGACTTGGTTGATGCATGTCATCGTATTCCAATTGCGCGGATTGATGCTCAGGAATGTTTGCTATAAAGGTAGCGTAGACATAAAGGCTCATTTTGGACATGAAATTTATGGGACTAGATTTAGGGAGATGGTATTTTTGTGTCAACATCCTCAGAGAAGAGTTCCTTCTTGGAATCAAATTTGTGGCATACATCTTTCTTCTCTTTCCCTCGAGAACCATCCCTACTATTTTACTATTTTTTGCAAAGTAGGGGCTTCTGGATGAGAAAAAAACCTGCCTACAAATGGAACGAGAAATCTACCTCTGATTCTGAACAGAAAGGGCAGGCGCTGCACCCTGCTAAAAATGTCTAGGCAAACACGACAGTTATGTCGATCGATGTTCATGATATCAATCACTGGATCGTCTGGTTCAGACTTGATTATTTAGAGACCACTGTCATACAGCTGGAATATTGCTGAGTGAGGCGATAAGCAACAATCCTAATATTTTGACACTATTTGTTCATAAGCATGTTTTGTCAAAATGAGGTAGTTCCACAAGACGTTTGCTAGTTTTGGTACCAGCGCCTAGTGGTTTTATCCATGGCTGATCTACTGTAGCATGATTTGTTCCTGGAAAAGTGGAGTCCCAGGAGCCTGTTGTGGATATGTTGGAGATACTTTCAGCATCTTTGATCTTAGATTGCACTGGAACACTTCACTGTGGTTTAGATTGGAGATTTCCTGTTTGTCAGACCGATTGTAGACTTCTCACATGCACTGAGGGGACCTTTCATGGCGTATGTTCCTCTGGTCCTATGTCAAGTGGTAGATCAATGGGTCGCTGTGTTGCCAGGGGGGATGGGGGGTAAACATGATGTTTCTTCTCCTAGCCCACACTATCAGTCACACTGACAGAGATGCACACTGACAAAACGGATGAACATTCCTAAAAATTCTTACGTTATAGTTGTTTGATTGTATTTATGTCCGAAATTGGTACTAAAACTATAAGTGTCGCCTTACAGGGAATAACTATGAAGTGGACAATTATTTATTGGAATGTATAAAGTCCAGTGTTTAATCATTGCTGTGTATTCTGTGAATAAGCTCCTTCCCTATGTAATGTCATTGCCCCAATCTCATATCACCCCTTCACTATGTAATATTCCTTGCCATATCACCCCTTCATGATGTAATATTCCTTGCCATATCACCCCTTTGCTATGTAATATTCCTTGCCATATCACCCCTTCACTATGTAATATTCCCTGCTATGTCACCCCTTCACTATGTAATATTCCTTGCCATATCAACCCTTCACTATGTAATATTCCCTGCTATGTCACCCCTTCACTATGTAATATTCCTTGCTATGTCACCCCTCCACTATGTAATATTCCTTGCTATGTCACCCCGGCACTACGTAAAAATCCTTGCCATATCAACCCTTCACTATGTAATATTCCTTGCCATGTCACCCCTTCACTATGTAATAATCCTTGCCATGTCACCCCGTCACTATGTAATATTCCTTGCCATGTCACCCTGTCACTATGTAATATTCCTTGCCATGTCACCCCTTCACTATGTAATAATCCTTGCCATGTCACCCCTTCACTATGTAATATTCCCTGCTATGTCACCCCGTCACTATGTAATATTCCTTGCCATGTCACCCCGGCACTATGTAATATTCCTTGCCATACCACCTCTCCACTATGTAATATTCCTTGCCATGTCACCCCTCCACTATGTAATATTCCCTTCTATGTCACCCCGTCACTATGTAATATTCCTTGCCATGTCACCCCGTCACTATGTAATATTCCCTGCTATGTCACCCCTCCACTATGTAATATTCCTTGCCATGTCACCCCGTCACTATGTAATATTCCTTGCTATGTCACCCCTTCACTATGTAATATTCCTTGCCATATCACCCCTTCACTATGTAATATTCCTTGCTATGTCACCCCTTCACTATGTAATATTCCTTCCCATGTCAGCCCGGCACTATGTAATATTCCTTTCCATGTCACCCCGGCACTATGCAGTGCATGAAAACATTCTTTAAATATATATATGGAAATGTCAAAAGTTATGTCTTAAATGTGAACCTAGCATAAAAGAAGAATGTATTTTCCTGCGGCAGAAATATGAAGAGTTCCGTGTCTGATCTAAAGGTTACACCAGCTATTGATGGTTCCCTGTACTTGGCATTTCTAAAAACTTACCTTTTTTCATTGATATTCTGACAATGACGCTTTCATGATGACTTGCGGCTAGACAAGTTTCATTCAGTGCAGTGTGCATTTTAAGCTTGTCAAGTATACCTGACACAATGAAGACAACAACAGCCATCCCCAAACTAACTTTATTTGATTATCTGCGGATTATTATCATGTTTTCATGAAAAATCCCAGTGGGAAGAAACATAAACAATGTTTCAGATTTCATTTTTTCTTCAAGAATTTATTTGGGGGCACGGGTCAGGTCCTACATCTCAGGCGAGAGTTTGCTGTGCAGAATTGTATCCCTTGGACATGCCAAAGACCTACAGTTTGGGTTTGAATCCGGGTTTGATTATGTTTCTAGGTTTGTCTGCTCCATACCCGTGCTCGTGAATTTCACCAAAGTGGTAAACGTCTGAGACCTGCATCACCTTGGTCTGTCCTCCCACATTACGCTGGCACACCATGATATGACTGGAATATTTTGTTCAAAGCAGCATTAAACCGAAGTCACGCACTCAGGTTTTTATTTCAATATGTTGCCAGGTGTGCAGTATTTTTAAAGTTGGTATGGTCAGTAGAGGTGCTTAGTGTTGTGAATGAATCTGTGATGAATGTGTATTCATGTGTTTGGAAAATACCAATATATTGCGTTTTCTAAATCTTGCATATTATTCACTTCTTGGCTAAGTTTACACAAGTGCCAAGTCTATTTAAAATAATTACCAACTGAGTTCTGTGATTGAAAAAGCAACACTGTACGCGACGATACAGTAATGTGTGTATTGAACAAGTGTTGTGACATCCAACAAAAATGGTGGTAGACAACAAAGTTTTAAAAATTGTGACTAAATTTTATTCAGGCTCGTAACATACTACAGATGAAAAAAACATGCAGTATATTGTGATACTTATCGCAATGCATGAAACATCATTGCCATTTATTGCAGTACGAGAGTCTGGCCAATACCCATCACGAATAGTGAGTTGAAATTTAACATCGCATCAGCATTATTTCTGCCATTTAGCGACCACACTAATAGCTAGGCCTGAAGTGTATGTATTGCAGGCACAGTTTGGTGGATGGGGTGGACATGTTGGAATACAGGCGGCAAACAAATAAAGCTCCAAGTGGGTTCATGTTCAGTTGGGTTTTTTTCACTTTTCGAATGTGTAGGGTCCATGGATCCGTGAGGTTGTGTAGGGTCCATGGATCCGTGAGGTTGTGTAGGGCCCATGGATCCGTGAGGTTGTCTAGGGTCCATGGAACCGTGAGGTTGTGTAGGGTCCATGGATCTGTGAGGTTGTGTAGGGTCCATGGATCTGTGAGGTTGTGTAGGGTCCATGGATCCGTGAGGTTGTGTAGGGTCCATGGATCTGTGAGGTTGTGTAGGGTCCATGGATCCGTGAGGTTGTGTAGGGTCCATGGATCCATGAGGTTGTGTAGGGTCCATGGATCCGTGAGGTTGTGTAGGGTCCATGGATCCGTGAGGTTGTGCCTGGTGTTGTGTTATTGTACTGCTGTCAGCAGAGTCTGAGTGTTTATAATAATTGCAGGGCTTCTCTAGTGAATTCAAGCCAGAACATCAGGATTCTGTCCACATCATCCGAAACGTAGGCCAAGTAATTGTGTATTCAACGTAACCTCAATAGCAAAACAAAACACTCTTTTAACTAATATTGAGGTCATTTAGAAAAAAATATATCGGGTAGTTAAATCAAGTCATTTGAGCAATGTTTTTTCTATTTACTTTTGAAAATGTGCCAGTCAGCGAAAATGGGTAATGGATTTACTGAAGTTTGGGTGAAGAGGTTATGTTTGATTATATTACATGTGGTGGTCTCGTCATGACTCACACACACAATGCCAATAAGGAACAGATTTAATTTTGCTCCTATTTGTTGGAAGTTTGTTTAAATGGCTATAAGCAATGTGGTACATTTGCCGAGCATGTGGCAGTCAATCGCACACAGGGGAGGCAAATAGTGGCAACCCAGCGAACCTCTTAGCTTACGTTTCAGCCTCTTTGTTGTCTCACTAAATTGGTTCGAGATTGCACAGGCCACATGCATGGCTGTTCTTGCACGAACATAGACCAGTTCTTTATGTCAGTATGCAAGGTTCCTTTGGGCAGATATTTATCAATATGGTTTGATGCATTCATCTGTATTGGTGTGCCAAGTGGAGTGTGCCTTTATTTGATGTACAGAGTTGCCTCCCTTAGCTAGGTTTGATACCATTTGTGGTTTGTCAGCACCTGGGCTTGTGGGTTTCATTAAAATGGTAAATGTTGAAGAACTGCATCTTTTTGGGTTCTCCTCCAACCAGCTGCAGACATGTAAGAAATAACTGAAGTATTGTTAAAAATAGCATTACACCAAACTCACTCACTCATTCATTACCCTCAGACCAACTCTATCTGATGATTGCCCTACCCACCTGGTGTATGTTTACCCCACCTGATGAATGTCAACCCCACCTGATGAATGTCAACCCCACCTGATGAATGTCAACCCCACCTGATGAATGTCTACCCCACCTGATGAATGTTTACCCTACCTGATGAATGTCTACCCCACCTGATGAATGTTCACCCCACCTGATGAATGTCAACCCCACCTGATGAATGTCAACCCCACCTGATGAATGTCACCCCACCTGATGAATGTCTACCCCACCTGATGAATGTCAACCCCACCTGATGAATGTCAACCCCACCTGATGAATGTCAACCCCACCTGATGAATGTCAACCCCACCTGATGAATGTCTACCCCACCTGATGAATGTCAACCCCACCTGATGAATGTTTACCCTACCTGATGAATGTCTACCCCACCTGATGAATGTTCACCCCACCTGATGAATGTCAACCCCACCTGATGAATGTCAACCCCACCTGATGAATGTCTACCCCACCTGATGAATGTCAACCCCACCTGATGAATGTCAACCCCACCTGATGAATGTCAACCCCACCTGATGAATGTCAACCCCACCTGATGAATGTTTACCCCACCTGATGAATGTTTACCCCACCTGATGAATGTCAACCCCACCTGATGAATGTCTACCCCAACTGATGTATGTCTACCCCACCTGATGAATGTTTACCCCAGACCCTGGTTACTCCACCTGTTGAATGTCAATCTTTCTGCCATCTCATTGTTGATCTTAACCATGGTAATCTTATAAACATCAACGTGTCTGTGTCAGTGAATTATCAGTTTAGTATTGAAATTTGTAAATTTGTATCAACATAATATCTACATAAAACGTTCATAAACATCCCCAGACACATGTACACTCCATCAGGAAAAAATATTCAGACATATTCAATTCATTATCGTTTTGTTACTTTCAATTATTTCAATCTTCTTTCTTTGATTTATTTGACAAATCCAAGACTTTGCCCGACTTGGCAAAAGAGGAAGTACATGTTTCCTTGGTTCACTACCAGGATGTTATGTGAGTACCGAGCCAGGTCAGGGATACTGTGCCAGTCTGCTCTATCAAGGAGAACAATCAGTGCAGTGCTGTGCTCTGCTGTGCTGTGCTGTGCTGCCTGACCTAGTCACTGGCTGTGCAGTCAGTGTCTTCACGTGCACCGTGCTGCCACAGCGGATGTGGCGTTCAACTCCATCAGCTGTTCTCAGCGGAAGATGTACTCTTAGCTGTAAAGTGCAAGTTGTAGGCTCCTAGCTCTTGTTACGTAGGATGCACGATTTGCTCATGTGACAAATGTTGTGGGCATAAATCTATTCTTAAACAATTTTTATTTAATTATCCTTACAGATTTTGAAAGTGATACATTTGGCCGGTGGGTCAAAAAATGTAATTGCATTGTTCAAGAGTTTTTTAATGTTTTTTATATATAGGTTTGATTTGGATCTGTAGGTGATAAAAAATGTGGGAAAAAAACAACCTTGTTTGGGTCCTTATAACTATTATAAATATAAAATCTCACAGCATTATTTTATCTTTCCTTCGGTGGTTTAAAAAATACCTTCATAGTCATTCTGATTTCGCCCCCCCCCCCCCCCCCCCCCCCCCAATTTTGTGTTTTTAAGGTTGGCGGAATTGTAAACCAAGCAAAGAATGTGTAAGACTTTAAGCTGAAGGTAGACTTGTGTGATGACAGGCAACTTCATAGCTAGGGCACCAGGGCTGAATCACTAGCACTGAATCACTAGCACCTGTACTGATTCATTGCATTGGAGTTGAAACCCATACGTCAACAATATCTTCATTGGTACCACAGCTTCTAAATAAAAGTGCCACTTAAAGTTCAGTTCCTTTGCACTTATGGTGAGGATGCATGTGTAGACATTGTGCCACAAAGTAGGCATATTCCTGGATAATTTTGGAATTCAAGCAATCTCATTAAAATCAGATCTTAGTTCTCGCTACCGCTAAACAAAGATCTGAGGACATCCCATTACGGGTCACGTCAGAACAACCTTTCACAAATTTTGACCGACCAATGAAATGACTGACAAGAAATTGACATTGACCAATCTGAAGGCAGCTTTCTCGAGCTTTACGACACTAGTCTACGCTTCCAAACATATTTTGACGTATTCTCGATTAAAAATTATAAAACTGATAAGAAGAACATTCTGGAATGGCTCATAGATGGCTTAGATTGTATGGATATAATCATAAAACCTGTAACTGTCGTTCTGAATACCCCATGTTAAATATATCATGGTTGCATGATCAGAAAAACAGATCTCTATGATGTCCTCAGATCTTTGTTTAGCAATAGCGAAAACTAAAATCTGATTTTGATGAGATTGGAATTCAACTGACTGGGGTGCAAACAGTTTCGAGACCTGCAAATCGCTTCATACACTCTGTGACCTCGAGGCTTTCTCAGGCAGGGAGTTAGATGGGGAGATAAGGCAGCTATAATGGATGAACTGAAAAATGACAAATCTATTTGGGGATTACAGGGATTGTTTCTGATAAAGTTTGAGTGCTGTTAGCTTTGATGGATTCGTGCAAGCTAGGTCTACTATGAGACTTTCTTTCATAAGGTACAGGAAGTATTTTCTGAAGAGAAGCCTCCAGGTTGATCAGCACTGAGCACTGGAACACACAATTGAACTAATCAAGTTTCAGTCGCTGGCTATGAAAGAAGGAAGGGAAAATGACTTGAAGTCTTCAGGAGCTTTCATAATGAACTCATGTCATCATTGTAATTGCTACCCAGAATTCAGATTACAAAACATGCAATTCAAACCTCATTCGAGAATAGTGCACTAATTCTTGAAATGTTAGAAAGGACTTAACTTGCCATAATGGTATTTTAAGTTCTTGATAGTTTGTATATTTTGGACAATTTTTTTAAAATGTGTCCTCCTTTTGTTAATTGAGTAATAATATTCACTAATGTTTTTTTGGGGAAGAAAATTATTGCAGAGTTTGTATATTTATGGATTATATTTTTTAAGGTTACATGAGGTTAATGGGGGTTCCTGTGAAGAATGATCGTTTCATGTTATGAGATAAATCTAAAGGAGGAAATTTAGAGCCCTTCTTTCAAGTGGGGAAAAGGGGCGGTCGGGTAGCCTTGTGGTTAAAGCGTTCGCTCGTCACGCCGAAGACCCGGTTTCGAGTCCCGACAATGTATGAAGCCCATTACTGGTGTCCCCCGCCGTGATATTGCTGGAATATTGCTAAAAGCGACATAAAACCATACTCACTAACTCACTCAAGTGGGGAAAAGTCTTGGAATCCCTTCTTCATTATGTTAACCTAAATCACATTTCTGGTCAGACCCGTGAAGATTCCGGGGTAGAATAGGTCTTCAGCAACCCATGCTAGCCGTAAAAGGCGACTATGCTTGTCGTAAAAGGCGACTAACGGGATCGGGTGGTCAGGCTCGCTGACTTGGTTGATGCATGTCATTGATCCCAATTGCGTGGATTGATGCTCATGATATTAATCACTGGATTGTCTGGTCTAGATTCGATTATTTTCAGACCGCCATCATATAGCTGGAATATTGCTGAGTGCGGCGTTAAACAACAAACCAACAAAACAAAAAAACATTTCTGTTAAGTCAGTTTACAAGTATGGCCATGGAGAAGGGAGAAGAGAACCATCTTGTTGTCACCTCACAGGTGTGGACATCAGCCAGGCCAGAAAGGTGGAACTAGATACTGACTGGGTTAACGCCGCTTTGAACAGTGTTTCAGTTATGTTACGGTGTGTCAGATTGATGTGGGAGGAAAGCCCAAAGTAATGCAGGTCTAACACGTGTCACCATTTTAGTGAAACCCATGATGGATATGGTAGTGAAGTTTGAACCCACAGTCACAGGTTCCTGGTACACCTATGGGAGGCAACTCTGCACAGGGAATTGCGGTGCCTTAGATGAATATATGTAACTAAGCAAGGATTAGCTGACTTGGGCCCACTTGCACAAAGTGATCTTAGCGCTAAGACTATTGTAAGCCTATGTTAAAATATTGGAGTTACGATCATCTCAGCGCTAAGATCACTTTGTGCAAGTGGGCCAAGGATTACACTGATTTGACTTCCCTTTTTCACTTGTGCTTAGTATGATTAAATCATTCCACATGTGCAGATGATTCGATGTCTTCCTTCTGAGTTAATGGAAATGCGCTAAATATTAACTGAATCAGTACAAGTAAAATTGAAATGAAAATATAGAATCGGACTACAAATGTACACTGAACACTGCTTTTAAACCTAAAACATTCTCCCACTCAGATTCCATAAGTGGCTGTGGAAAAGGCAAGTGGTTAAAGCGTTTGCCTGTCATGTCAAAGACCTGGGTTTGATTCCCCTCATGGGTACAATATGTGGAGCACATTCTTCATATCTATATCGTATGAATATTGCAGTATGTTTTCTTATCAGGAATAAATAGGCATGTGACAAAAATATTGCTGAAGTCTACTTTATATATTGTTCAGGGCTCCATTCCACAAAGCGATCGTAACTCCCATACTTTAGCATAGACTTACGACAACTTTTGTGCTAAGATCACTTTGTGGAACAAGATCCTGATCTGTCACCTTCTCACTCATCCACCCAAATCCATCCACTCACTCTCACTCACTCACTCACTCACTCACTCACTCACTCACTCACTCGCGCTGATTTGAGTTTTTGCCTTTGTCTGACTATGAGTATTCATGTTGCAAGTGTCCACTTATACACTCATTATTATATTGCAGGGGCTCGGATCACTACTCCCACTACAACCAGGAGGGTGTGACCGTGATTCCATCAGCAGCAGCCGCGGCAGCAGCTCTTAGTGGCCACCAGCCCGTGGATGTCAGTACACCACCAGGTCCCAAGCGGCCCCGACTGACTGACCGCCATGATCTCACGCACCCTCTGCACATCGACATCCGGGGGGAGACAGAAGTCAAAAGGGTAGGTTGTCACTCAGTTTGTATGTTTGTTGTTTGCCAGTATTCCGGCAATGTCACAGTGGCCTATAAATAATCAAGTCTGGACCAAGTAAACCAGTGGTTGATAATATAATAAACATCCCCTGCTGTCATGACACGAATACACACAACCAAGCTTGTTTGTTTGTTGTGTAACACCGCACTCAACAACATTCCAGGTATATGATGGCAGCCTCTAAATATGAAAGTCTGGGCAAGACAATCCAGTGATTGACATCATAAACATAGATGCACACAACTGGGATAGGATGATATACAGTGAACCAAATCACTAAGCCTTACCACCTCCTCTACTATGACTGCTTTACAATGCTACTGACCCGTGAAGATTCCGGGGTAGAATAGGCCTTCAGCAACCCATGCTTGCTGTAAAAGGTGACTATGCTTGTCGTGAAAGGCGACTAGCGGGATCGGGTGGTCAGGCCCGCTGACTTGGTTGGTGCATGTCATCGATCTCAATTGCGTGGATCGATGCTCATGATGTCAATTACTGGATTGACTGGTCTAGACTCGATTATTTACAGACCGCCGTCATATAGCTGGAATATTGCTGAGTGCGGCGTTAAACAACAAACCAACCAACCAACCTCCACTACTTAGTTGCCGCCCCGTGAAGATCTGGGTTGGAATAGGTCTTCATCAACCCATGCTTGCCTTAAAAGACGACTATGCTTGTCGTAAGAGGCAACTAACCGTATCGGGTGGTCAGGCTAGCTGACTTGGTTGATGCATGTCATCGTATCGCAATTGCGTGGATGGATGCTCATGATGTCAATTACTGGATTGTCTGGTCCAGACTTGATTATTTACATACCGCCGCCATATAGCTGGAATATTGCTGAGTGCGGCGTTAAACAACAAATAAACATAAACATAAACAACTTAGTTGCCTCTTGTGACAAGCTAGGGACCTATATTCCTCACATGTCCTTGTTTCCTGATGGTGTGGATTGTTGTTATCAATATTGATTACTGGATTGTCTAGTCCCGCTCGATTATTTACAGGCGACAGTCACATAGCTGGAGTTATGGCGAGTGCGACATTGAACAACAAACAAACAAACAGTCTAAAGTATCAGTTAGCTATGTATTGAAATCTTGAGATATTTTCAAGTCAATATATCCATTTTGTAATATTTTTCAGTTCATACATTGTTCTGCCAATGGGGAAGCAGTTAAGGCCCTTTGGTTAAACCATTTGTCAGTAACACCAAAAGCCCAGGTTTGATTCCCTACATGGATACAATGTGTGAAGCCATCGCTATGTCCCCTGCTGTGATATTGCTGGAATGTCCAATCAATATTTTGTGTTTATTTGTGCTATGAGACAGTGATGTCTGGCCATGTTGACCCTAGTAGTGACTGGTTATTGCTGTCCTCCCCAGGAGCCGACATACAACCCCCAAGTGGAGGCCATCTCTCCAACGCTTCCCCCCGAAGATTCGGCCAGCAAGACCTTCAAGGAAGAACTACTGCAAGGAATATCCAGAGTGGACCGGGAAATCACAAAGGTGGAACAGAATATCATGAAACTCAAAAAGAAAAAGGTAACTTTGGTTTAAGTTGTGTTAAACTTTCGGGAAGTAATTTTGATTTGAAAATTTTGTCATTTTGTCGGGTAGGTCAAATTGGTATGTGAATACTTTTAGATTTTTTGACATACTTGTCCCAAGTACTTCATGAATGTATGTTGCGAAAGACCAGTAAGATTGGGTTGACAGATGATTATGGCCGCCATGGAGCAGCAGCAGTAGCAGCAACAGCAGCAACAACAGCAGCAGCAACAATGTTTAGTAGAAGTAATAGCAGAAGAAGACCTTTACATAGCAGTGGTAGTTATAGGTTTATACTAGCTGGCGCTCGGCATTAAGGGGATAAAACACAGACTGGTTGGCTCAGAGTCAGTATACTGTGTCTGAGGGGAATTCAGGTTAAATTGTGGCATGGTATCTCAGTGGGCTATCACAATAAAATCAGTATTAGTTTGGACTAGTACAAACACGCCACGCCCTGCCACACCATGCCTCATACACACTCACAAAACCCCATCTCCACAAAATTGGGAGCAGGAACAAGCAACAGCAGCAACAACCAGTCTCCTTAGCTAACAGCTTCTCCCAATTTTTAACTCAGCGGATACAATGTCTCATATCTTGACAACCAAAGGTATAAGCACTCATATCAACCACATTTGTGTCTCCCAGCAGACATTACTGTTCAGGTAACAGAGCATAACTGTCAATTTGGACTGATACAAACCAACTGAGCACACTCATTCTTTATAAGCATGTCTTCCAACATGGTGCTGATCACCCACCTTACCTCCACAGCAAGCCCTAGAGGAAGAAACGTCAAAACCCAAGAAGGAGAAGCCTGTCACACCAGAGTTGGCCATGCCCGAGACAAAACACCAGAGCATAGCTCAAATCATCTATGCTGAAAACAGGGTAACTATGTGCTATAGCTCAAATCATCTATGCTGAAAACAGGGTAACTATGTGATATAGCTCAAATCATCTATGCTGAAAACAGGGTAACTATGTGCTATAGCTCAAATCATCTATGCTGAAAACAGGGTAACAATGTGCTATAGCTCAAATCATCTATGCTGAAAACAGGGTAACTATGTGCTCTAGCTCAAATCATCTATGCTGAAAACAGGGTAACTATGTGCTCTAGCTCAAATCATCTATGCTGAAAACAGGGTAACAATGTGATATAGCTCAAATCATCTATGCTGAAAACAGGGTACCTATGTGATATAGCTCAAATCATCTATGCTGAAAACAGGGTAACTATGTGCTCTAGCTCAAATCATCTATGCTGAAAACAGGGTAACTATGTGATATAGCTCAAATTATCTATGCTGAAAACAGGGTAAAAATGTGATATAGCTCAAATCATCTATGCTGAAAACAGGGTAACTATGTGATATAGCTCAAATCATCTATGCTGAAAACAGGGTAACTATGTGCTCTAGCTCAAATCATCTATGCTGAAAACAGGGTAAAAATGTGATATAGCTCAAATCATCTATGCTGAAAACAGGGTAACTATGTGATATAGCTCAAATCATCTATGCTGAAAACAGGGTAACAATGTGCTATAGCTCAAATCATCTATGCTGAAAACAGGGTAACTATGTGTTATAGCTCAAATCATCTATGCTGAAAACAGAGTAACAATGTGATATAGCTCAAATCATCTATGCTGAAAACAGGGTACCTATGTGATATAGCTCAAATCATCTATGCTGAAAACAGGGTAACTATGTGCTCTAGCTCAAATCATCTATGCTGAAAACAGGGTAACTATGTGATATAGCTCAAATTATCTATGCTGAAAACAGGGTAACTATGTGATATAGCTCAAATCATCTATGCTGAAAACAGGGTAACTATGTGATATAGCTCAAATCATCTATGCTGAAAACAGGGTAAAAATGTGATATAGCTCAAATCATCTATGCTGAAAACAGGGTAACAATGTGATATAGCTCAAATCATCTATGCTAAAAAGCAGGGTAACAATGTGATGTAGCTCAAATCATCTATGCTGAAAACAGGGTAAAAATGTGATATAGCTCAAATCATCTATGCTGAAAACAGGGTAACTATGTGATATAGCTCAAATTATTTATGCTGGAAACAGGGTAACTATGTGCTATAGCTCAAATCATATATGCTGAAAACAGTGTAACTGTGTAATTGCTCAAAACATATATGCCGAATATATATACAGTTCTAACTATGATAACATGACTTGGGACATTTTTTTGTTTCCATTTGCTGTAGATTTTGAGCAGGTCTATATAAGTCCCTGGTTGACTGCAATAACTTGTGTTTTCTTTCAGAAAAAGGCAGAGGAGGCACACAAGACGTTAGAGAAACTGGGGCCCAAAGTTGAGCTGGTAAGTCATTTGCGAGAAATAACTAGAGCTAAAGAAACAACTTGATTTGGATTTATTCCTTTTCTCATATTTTATTTAATATTCTCCTCAAAGGACGTTAAAGAACACCCATTTTTTACTCATGACAACAGTTTATCTGTCATGTCCCAATCTCATTAAAATCAGATCTAAGTTCTCGCTACCGCTAAACAAAGATCTGAAGACATCCCATTAGGGGTAACGTCAGAACGACCTTTCATCCAACCAATCAGTGCGTCGCTTACCAGATTATGAAACTGACAGTCGGAATGTGATTTCTAATCATGCAATCTCGAAAACTATAACATGGGGTATTCCGCACGATAGTTACGGGTTTAACGACTGAATCCATACAATCTAAACCATCTATTAACCATTCCAGAATGGTTTTTTTGTTCAGGTTTTAAATTTGTAATCGAGAATTTGTCAAAATATGTTTCGAAGTGTAGTCGCCAATTTGAAACTTGTGCTGTAAAGCACAAAAAAGCTGCCTTCTGATTAGTCATTCCATTGGTCGGTCAAAGTTTGCGCAAGGTCGGTCTCACGTGACCCGTAAGGGGATATCCTCAGATCTTTGTTTAGCGGTAGCGAGAACTAAGATCGGATTTTAATGAGATTGGTCATGGCCATGAGACATGTGGCTGTATGTTTCTCTCTGACGATGCCTGTCTTGTGTTCCACAGCCACTGTACCACCAGCCCTCGGACACTACCATCTACCACGAGAACAAGAAGAAGTAAGTCCATGTAGCTCTTAGCTAGGTGACCCGTGAAGATCCGGGGTAGAAAAGCCTTCAGCAACCCATGCTTGCCTTAAAAGGTGACTATGCTTGTCGTAAGAAGCAACAGACGGGATCGGGTGGTCAGGATTGCTGACTTGGTTGATGTATGTCATTGATCCCAATTGTGTGGATTGATGCTCATGATGTCAATCAATGGATTGTCTGGTCCAGACTCAGTTATTTACAGACCTCCGTCATATAGCTGGAGTATTGCTGAGTGCGGCGTTAAACAACAAACAAACAAACAAATCTTAGCTAGGTCAATCCTTGCAATGACACTATGTTGTCAAGGGTCCCATTCCTCAAAATGGTCTTATATTTTAGTTAGTGTTATCATTGTCGTAAGTCTGTGTCAAAGTATAGGAGTTATGATGATCTTAGTGCTAATACTGCTTTCTGCAAGTGGGCCCAGGGCCTCGTTCAACGAAGTTATCTTAACACTAGTGTTATCGTAAGTGTATTTTTAAGTATAGGAGTTACAATCGTCTTATTGCAAAGATCTTTTTGTGGAATGGAGCCCTGGCCTACACAACATTAGCACTTGTTATTATAAGTGTCCAACCTGTGTCCAGGAACAATGAGAGATTATCTTTAAAGAGTTGCTTCCCTTAGCCGCTCCAGGATCATAGGTCTGTCAGCACCATATCCGTACTTACGGGCATGAGTATGAAAAGACTTCAACTCTTGCCTTTTTGATACATTTCTGTTTGTGATATTGTCTACATGATGGAGCTTTCATGATATGCCTCTTCATGCCATTCTCCTTCGGGGATTCTGAGTCAGAACAGGTCTTCAGTGCCTCATGCTTGATGTTAATTATTAAAGAGCCAACAAAAAGGAGTTTTGGTGTGAGCCTTTGGCATGGCGCCCAGTGGCATGGATCATTGCTCTTGCTTTCTTTGACTTCTTTGCCTGGTTCAGACTAATTATTTACAGGCCTCTGTGATATAGCTGGAATATTGCTGACGGCAACGTTATACAACATTCATTTACTCCCTCCTACCATTCATACGAATCCCGGTTCGCCCCAATTATGTTTCTAGGTTTGTCAGTACCATACCCGTGCTCGTGGGTTTCATCGAAGTGGTAAACGTCTGAGATCTAGACCTGCATCACTTTGGGCTTTCCTCCCACATTAAGCTGACACGCTGTGATATAAGTGGAATACTGTTAAAAGCGGCTTTAACCCCAACTCACTCACTCACTCACTCCTACCATTCATAACAGTGATGCTTACTATGTGGAATTCTGTCATAATGGGTTTGGAGCAATTAATTGCTTCATCAAAATTTGAGCTGTATACATAATTACCCTTATTTAATGCATCGTTTCTTGTAATTACACATTTCAAATTAGTTCAAGTCAAAAGACATGTATGTTAATTGGGATGAATTATGGGAAACTTGATGTTCCTGTTAAAGACCATAACACACTTAAGATGCACATCTTTCTCATCTCGTGTATGACTTGACAGAACTACAAGGGATGATTTAATCAGATCTTGGGAAAGTTGGGGGGAAACATGCCATAACTCAATGCAGATATCAGACAGCACTACCTTGCACCATCAGTATCTCAGTAACGGATCACCCCACCACTTGTAATTAATCCCCTGCCCTATTAGCTACATCAGGGAAATTGCTTTGAGAAGTGCACTCTCTGTACTTGGTATCATTATAGTGCTCGATATCTCCCCCTCATATCTTTACCCCTTCATATCTCTACCCCTTGCAACATTAGCCAGAAGGCCAAGGAAAATATACAGTAGTGATACTTGAAGCGAGCTGACATTGTTAGGCCAGATTTGTTTGAGTTGTTTGTTTGTTTGTTTGTTTAACGCCGCACTCAGCAATATTCCAGCAATATCCAGCAGACGGCGGTCTGTAAATAATCGAGTCTGGACCAGACAATCCAGTGATTGATATCATGCACGTCGATCCATGCGATTGGGATCGATGACATGCATCAACCAAGTCAGCAAGCCTGACCACTCGATCCCGTAAGCCGCCTCTTAGGACAAGCATAGTCGCATTTTACGGCAAGCATGGGTTGCTGAAGACCTGTTCTACCCCGGATCTTCACGGGTCGTATCATCATAGTGCTCTACCCCTCATATTTTTACCTCTTGCAAGGACCGCCTCCATGGTCTAGTGGTAGTGGTAGAGCGGAACATCCAGGGTTCGATCCCCGGCCGCGTCAGACCAAAAGACGTTAAAAGATGGTACTTGTTGTTACCCTGTCTGGCGCTCTGCTTTAAGGGGCTAAAACAAGGACTGTTCGGCTCGGAGTCAGTATACTGTGTCTGAGTGGGGTATTCATGCTAAACTGCTGCATGGTATCTCAGTGTGCTAGCACTATAAATCAACATCAGTCCGGACTAGTACAAGCAGCCACACACACATACACACAAACACGTGCAATAATCTTGGATGCGACGTTAAACCCCATTTCACCTCACCTCACCTCACCTCACCTCACCTCACCTCACCTCACCTCACCTCACCTCACCTCTTGCAACATTAGCAGGAGGCCAAGGAACATATACAATAGTGATACGTGAAGCGACCAGACATTGTTGGGCCAGAGATAGGAACAGTGGGGTAGCCTAGTGGTTAAAGCGTTTGCTTGCCACGCCAAAGACCCAAGTTTGATTCCCCACATGGGTACAATGTCTGAAGCCCATTTCTGGTGTCCTCCCCACTATGATATTGCTGGAATATTGCCGAAAGCAGCCTAAAACAACTCTAACTCTTAAACAAAAAACATATTTAACATATGCATCCATAAAACAAGGGGAAAAAATTCTTCTGGCCTAAAAAAGTGATTTGGGGTTCTTTTCGTATTGATTGTGTTGGGTACCGGGTTAGAATAGGTCCCCAGTGACCCATGCTGATCTCCCCGTGCGGTTCCGGGTTTGAATAGGTCCCCAGTGACCCTTGCTGATCTCCCCATGCAGTTCCGGGTTAGAATAGGTCCCCAGTGACCCATGCTGATCTCCCCGTACAGGCCGTTGCATGTAGCTGGAATATCCCTGAGTGTAACGTTAGACAACTAACAATGTAATAACCAGTATGATGTGTGAGATAGGTGGACAATGCAGTAATGAAGGGTTTCTGTCCGTGACAGGTTCCAGGTGTTCAAGAAGCGGTTGATCCTTCACTTGAAGAAGAGGAACCAGGCCAGGAAGATACGGGTAAGATGCCACCCAGGGATTTATACCAGATATACACTGCATTTCCCCGTCTGTCTGTGAGCATACAACCACAGCTGATGTTACAGAAGCAAATCTTGAGATCCAAGGAAACGAAAAAGTTATCATCTATATTTATTTCAGGAATTCTTCTGTAATACATTTCAAGATGCTCTTATCATAAATGGATCATGGTTTTGATACTATTAAACCAAACTGATAAACCGATCCGATAAATATGCAACTCAGGTTGCCTATATCCCTCTCATCACCCTGCTATGACCCTGCTATGACCCGCGTAACACCTTCTTGTAACCCTCCCACCTCCCTGCGGCTATCGTGATATATGCCTGCTGTTACCCTGTGATAACTGCTATAACTGCTGTTTGTGTGTCCAGGAGCGATACCTGACAGAGAGATATGACCAGCTGATGCAGAGATGGCTGAAGAAGATGGAGAGACTGGAGAATAATGCCAAGAGAAAGTAAGAAAACCTCCAAGGGAGGTTACTCTAGATAATCTTTCTGGGTATGATGTGAGGTTTGAACAGCCTCATTCAATACGTAACTGACACATGACGAGTCCCCTGTGTCTTAGCCATGCCAGTATCCTGCTGGTCTAGAGGTTTGAACAGCCTCATTCAATACGTAACTGACACGTGACTAGAGTCCCCTGTGTCTTAGCCATGCCAGTAGCCTGCTGGTCAGTCTCCGGGGCATTCCAGGTAGAAGTGTTCAAATTCACTACAGGGATTTTTCCAAAAGATTTTGGGGCACAGGTGGCCCAGTCATCTAAGGCACCACAATTCGCTGTGCAGAGTTGCGTCCCTTAGGCATGCCAGAAACCTATGATTGTAGGTTCAAAATACCGGTTCGCCCCAATTTTGTGTCTTCGTTTGTCAGCACCATACCCGTGCTCATGGGTTTCACCGAAGTGGTAAATGTCTGCATCACTTCAGGCTTTCATCCCACATTAAGCTGAAACGATGTGATATAACTGGAATACTGTTAAAAGAGGCGTTAAACCCAACTCACTCACTCACTCCAAAAGATTTGTGTCTCCTACTTAATAGATATTATGGCAACTTTCTGTTCCCTATTCTTCAAAAACTGGAAATTAGAAAGTTCAACCTTACATTCAAATGAATTGAATTAAATCAGTGTATGGTAACATTTTGCCAATAAGGCACTATTAAAGCACATTCAGCACAATCCCACAATATGAGAAACAAGGTACAAGGTTATTTGATTCTATCCTGTAACACTGTTCTCAAAGATTTCGCCATTGGGATTTCATTAAAATTTATCAACTTTTAACCAGTGATTGACGAATGAGTATAAGATGGTACTCACAGTTTTGAAAAAGTAAATTGTTTTTCCGAAACTGTCATTCTACATTGTAGTGGCTCTGTTTTTATGGGATCCTGCAGCAATCGTCATATACATGTCAGTCAACAGTGGAATTTCCTCTTCTGTTAATTAGGCATTCATATTTGTGTGTTAACATTTTTTTCAGAGCAAAAGATGCCAAAATGAGAGAATTTTATGAGAAGATATTTCCCGAAATCAAGAAGTCTCGGGAGGACAAAGAGAGGTTTGCCAGGTAATAAGTCTACTTGTACAGGTGATCAGAGATCATTATAACTATGCTGATTATGACCCTTCTAAAACAAAGCTGTCAAGCAATTGGATCCAGGATATTTATCGTAATAGAATGGAGATATATTACACTATCGAGAATGATGCAATAGTTACCATGTAATAAAATGTTCACATATCTTCAGTAAGAACTGGCAGGAGTTTTGTTAATCATTAGTTAGAACATTTTGCTCATTTTTTTGATAATTAAATGATTTGATTAATTTGAGTAGGAATTAGGGGTGAAACGATACCGCAAGGTCATGGTATGATACGTCAACTCATGGGGAAACAATAAATATTTCAGAGCAGATTCCAAAGGAAAAGCTGGCTGTAGACACATGTTCATAGCGGATATGTTTAGTTGTGAACTTGAAAAGCTATTACAACACATTTTACCACATTTGACTGACAAAAATTCTGAGGTGGGTGTGGAGGTCATTAAACGAGTAGTAAGTAATTTATTTAGCAACTGTATCGTCTTGTATCGATACAGAAAGAAATGTATCATGTATGGTATCGTCACATGAAAACTTGTAGCGTTTCACTCCTTGTAGAAATTTCTCAAGCTTGTAAGTCCTCTGGATATAAACGCCTTAGCCATTGCTGAAACTCCAGTGAGGTGGGATGGCCGAGTTGTTGCAGTGATTGCTTATAACAGAGACATAAGTTTGATTCTCTGACACTATCTTTCCAGCCAAATCTTGGTGTTCCACACTGAGATGGTGCTGCAGTAGTGTTGAAAGTTGCATGAGATAAGCCACTGACACATGGGTGTATTAAGGGGGGATAATTCACTGGCTCTACTTCCTCACATAGTACTGAAGCCTGCTTGCTACTTCCTCCTCCCTCATTTCATATCACTCATCATAGAATTGTCAGCAGTTCCTCATAAGTTCATAACAGGGTGCTGTTCCACAAAGCCATCGTAGCGCTTAGATGATCGTAACTGCCATATTTGAACATTGACTTCCAGCAGTCGTAGCACTAGGACAATCGTAGCTCCCATACTTGAACATCGACTTCCGACAGTCGTAGCACTAGGACAATCGTAGCTCCCATACTTGAACATCGACTTCCGACAGTCGTAGCACTAGGACAATCGTAGCTCCCATACTTGAACATTGACTTCCGACAGTCGTAGCACAAGGACAATCGTAGCTCCAATACTTGAACATCGACTTCCGATAGTCGTAGCACTAGGACAATCGTAGCTCCCATACTTGAACATCGACTTCCAACAGTCATAGCACTAGGACAATCGTAGCTCCCATACTTGAACATCGACTTCCAATAGTCATAGCACTAGGACAATCGTAGCTCCCATACTTGAACATCGACTTCCGACAGTCGTAGCACAAGGACAATCGTAGCTCCCATACTTGAACATCGACTTCCGACAGTCGTAGCACAAGGACAATCGTAGCTCCCATTCTTGAACATCGACTTCCGACAGTCGTAGCACTAGGACAATCGTAGCTCCCATTCTTGAACATCGACTTCCGACAGTCGTAGCACTAGGACAATCGTAGCTCCCATACTTGAACATAGACTTCCGACAGTCGTAGCACTAGGACAATCGTAGCTCCCATACTTGAACATCGACTTCCGACAGTCGTAGCACTAGGACAATCGTAGCAACCATTCTTGAACATCGACTTCCGACAGTCGTAGCACTAGGACAATCGTAGCTCCCATACTTGAACATAGACTTCCGACAGTCGTAGCACTAGGACAATCGTAGCTCCCATACTTGAACATCGACTTCCGACAGTCGTAGCACTAGGATTGCTTTTTGGAACGCGGCCATGGCTATTTGGCTAAGGCAGTGTGTGAAATTTCTAGATGTGAATAGCTGGGTTTGATTTACTCTACCAAATACAAGGAGAAACTGCGATCTGAGTCAGGGGCGTCACGTTAGCCTAGTGGTTAAAGAATGGGTTCAGATCCCCACATGGGTACAATGGGGAAGCCAAGTTCTGGTGTCCCCCGCCGTGATATTGCTGGAATATTGCTAAAAGTGATGCAATCTGAAATCTGAACTCCTGCAAAACTATCTTCTGGTATCATATCCGATGATCCCGTTTCGAACATTCATATTCAGCTGTATTATAAAATGTTTTAGCTCACTTGAAATTCAAGTTGGCCTGTCGGGGCACTTTGATTATATTTTCTATAGCCAAAGAGCCAAAAATGAATTAGACACGGCTTATTTCGCACACTGCACTGAGGTCATTTTTGTCTTTGATTTGTTCATTCATTGATTCCATCTCATATCATTTGCTGCTTCTCGAGTGGCCGGCCCAGTTGTGAAAGGCGATGCAGTTTATTGCATTCCATAGCTGTGATTAGATCACAGATCCACTCAACTAGGAGGCCTGGTCGGTCAGTGCCATTCCCATGCCCATCAATCAGAGTTCCCGTTTACCGGTAATTACCAGTATTTTACCGGTAAAATTAAGCTTGGCCAATAACTCAGGTGACTGCCAGTCCTTGTGGACCAGAAAATAGAGTACCTTAAGAATCTTTGTTTTTTAACAAAACATTGGCAATATTCATATGAGTATATTTTTCAAACAAAGTCAGCTTGTCTGTTACAATCTGGGTTCCCCCCTTGTCTATTTTTAGTGCAAGGAAATAATATTTTGGTTTGCTTTGAGGTTAAATAGCCATTTGTAGCGACTTCGTCTCAAAATTTAAAAAAAAAGGAGAAAATTCCTCAGAGATGACGTCATTGCACTGAACATGATGTTGAAAGAATTTTTTAAACAAGGTAATTTTCATATGTTTTTTATTGTTGAAAGTTGGGACCGAAAAATTAGGGGGGACTGGCAATTTTTAGAGTTTCCACTCCAGTAGGACTGGCAGCGGGAACACTGCATCAATGACCTATGACCTGCCTTTCCTCCAACACAAAGCTGACATGCCGTGATATAAGTGAAATACTGATGAAAACGGCGTTAAACTCACTCACTCACTCACTCACCGCTTTTCCAACCCCTGGCTTCTAACCGTGAGTTTAGTCCAGTGCTCAGGTTGCTGCCAGCCATCTTGCAACATTTATTGTTTCATTTTGCTTCATCAGTAGGGTGGGTGCCAGAAGCAGTATCGCATATGCACGGAGCGAGGCTGAGCTCGAACAGATCATGGACGGATTACATGAACAGGAGGTTTGTTGTATAGCTAGCGTTCCTGTTGCATGATGGGAGGGCTGTGAGGCAGTCGTAACCGTGAGCTGTTTGTCCATGTCAACAACCTAGGATATAAATTGCATGTTATTGTTATTATTCACGCCTTGCTTTTATATACATGTTTTTTCTATAGTACAATTAATTATGGAGAGGAATACATTTGCAGGGTTTTACTGGACTTGCAAAAGTAGGGGTCTAAGGGACCCCAAGAATTTATTATCCCCAACCACAAAGTGGCAGGGGGATTAATTAAGGAATGGGTGCTGTCCAACTGTCAAGTTTCAGTTCCGGAGCAGAACTAAAAAAACATGAGATATATCTTAACCAAACTTGGCACATAGAAAGGTCTCGTGGTGAACTGGTACCTTTTGATAGTTTGGATTTTTTTTAAAGATTTTCCATGGCAATGACTTTGACTAAGTCAGAAAATGGCGATAGGAGGGGGAAATGAGTATGTCATGCTTGTTTCAAGGGCAGTATGAGAGTCCTGTAATGTAATGAAATGGTGCAGTACTCTGTATGTTTTTATGATTACTTTAGAACCTGGAATGAATCAGTGATCATGTGGACAGTGGTCATGATTGATGGATGAAATGGCAGACACCAATAACTGCTCTTGGTGTGCTGTAGCTCCAATGAATATTATTGTGCGTCCCAAGGGACGCAGTTTATTCTCCACATTTGTGCACACGAATACACTATGAGGCGGATACGATTAGTATCATGAATATAGGGTAACGAATACGAATATTAATTCACGAATACAATAACAAGTCAGCAGTTGATGTATTATTTGTTATATTCAGTGAGGCAATAACAACATAAATTGTTTGACATGGTTTGTTAATTTATTAATATATTATTAATTTATATACTGCACTTACTTAAGTAGTATAAGAGTTGTCTTTTGAAGAAATCTATGCATAAAATATGTTCTTATGGGTATTTTTTTATGTAAATGCACATGCTTGCATATTCATAAATATTTGATTCTCGTAGACACGAATAGCTAATTCAATTCATGAATGGATACGGTTCGATTCACCGAATACGCGAGTGAAACGTAACAGCCCTACTGGACACACACTTGTGAGTCACGTAAAACCCTGCCTTTGTTATATATTTCTCAAGTTTGATAGGAGTACTGAAGTACTATTTGGTTTGGTTGAGCCTATGCTATATGTACATCATGTAATGCTATTGGTTGATTATTATTATGATTGTTATTATTATAAAGTCCTTAGTTTGATATGCCATGGAATAATTATTATATCCTTATTAGAAGTTGAGTACTGTACATGTTCAGTTTAAAGATTTGTTTTTTGTAGGTTGTTTTTACAAGAAAATTTAAGTTTGCTTGCAGCATTGTGTGTGTTGTCCTTGTGGTGTCGTAGTTGTACTGGCGTAGTTGTAGTGTCGTAGTTGTAGTGGGAGTTAGCCCTGCTAGGCAGTGGTGTATGTATGTGTGCTGGTACCACCACAAGCCTCCATTGTCTTGTGTGCGTGTTTACAGGAGGAAGATAAGAAGATGCGCAGCTACGCCGTCGTGCCGCCAATGATGCTAGACGCTCGACAGCGGAAGTTCCGATTCATCAACAACAATGGGCTGATCGAGGACCCTATGGGAGACTATAAGGAGAAACAAATCGTCAACAAGTGGACGGAACATGAGAAACAAGTTTTCAAAGAAAAATACCTCCAGCATCCAAAGAACTTTGGCCTTATCGCACAGTATCTTCCAAGAAAGGTGAGAACCATGTTTCTAAACTCCACTTAATGTTCTTGCCATTTAATGTATTTTCTGTCTCATTGGGCAAAAGCATCAAATGTTGAAAATAATACACTGTTTTAAATGCTTGAAAATGACATTAGATACCACTTGCTAAATGGAATTTAATTGTTGCAACCTTTAACAGAGATGATGTCGATGATGATGATGATGATGATGATGATGATGTTTCAGACTGTGGCAGAATGTGTTCATTTTTACTATCTCACAAAGAAAAGTGATAACTATAAGCAGTTGCTACGGAAACAGAACATGAAAAGAAAACGTTCTTTACAGAAGTCACAGGTAGGTGGTTGTGGAAGATCCAACGACTGACTCTTCTTATCAATACAATTCAATGTCACCTGTGGGGATTACATAACAAGTCCCAAGCATCCAGTTCTTGCTTCATCGGGATCAGGTCACAATGGGTAGACTATAACTATAATGACTCATCAACTTTGCTGTCACTCAATGATATAACTGAAATACTGCTCAGAGTGGTTTAAAGGCCAATCCAAAAATAATTATAGGTACAGCCAGCCTTCTAGAAACTTTCCTATTTCAAACTGACCAATCTATCCCGCCATGTTCATGCAAGCTCCTCACAGCGATAGTACGTTCCCGGAGCTCTCTATACTATCGCTGCCACCAGTCAAAACTCCCAACTGTGAATAGGTGGCCACAACCATGCTTGGAGTTGAACTCGCAACCGAATGACCGTTATGTTTACAAACAAGTGTCAACTGTCGTGCGCCGAATACACTTATAGCTGCTAAATTACTTTCTTCGTTTGTCAATTTGAATTTCTGTTTCATTAAAACTATCGTGTTATTGATATAGTACGAATGTAAGGGAGAAGTTGGTTGATTTTCCGTTAGTCTGCAATCTCGAACCAATCTGATTATCAAAACAACAAAGTAAATTCGTCTGGAAAACATGGTCAGTCGTAAACCTTTTCAAATTGAAATATGATGGCATTCCCAAAGACATAAACAAAAGTATAAACGTTACTACATATGGGGTTTGAGGGCAAATTTCAAGATTCTTGTAATGGCCGCGCCCACACTGGTGGCAGCGATGTTACCGAGAGTGTAACGAAGGTGTCACGCGCTGGGAAGGAGCTTGATGTTCATGTATACAGGGGAGGTAACTCTAAATTCCACTTGCTGCGCCAACAGTATTCAACATTTTACTAACCCTTCAATCAGTTGCTGCAACTAACAATTACCGCCAATAATTATTACCCATAGGGTTAGGATTAACTGGCACTAGTGCAAATATCATTTCCCACGCACTAGTGTATTGTTTACGTCATCCGGATGGCATTGTAGACGTCATTCAATTCTTATTGTGACATCAGGTCAAACAAGAACGTCATGATAGCTGAAAATTGTTAATGTTATTCGACAATTGTGATTTTTAAGACGGCGGTCATGATCAATGCATTTTTCTAAACAGGAGCTCAAAAGGATTCAGAAATAATGAGTAATAAAGAAATTATTACACTCACATGTGTGTCATACTGATTTTACGAAACTTGTGAAAGAATTCATGAATGTAATACTCAGGACATTATGACACATGTTTCGTAAAATCAGTATGACACACATACTTATATAATAACATCTCTATACTTACAAGAGTCTCTACTGCCACAGAACACGTGGGCTGACTGTTGTGTTGTGTCTTTCAGCAACAACAGTCACTGCAGCCAAAGGAAGAGTCCCAGCAACGCCAAGATGATGGTGATGAAAGCACCAAATATGTCACGCTCAGGTTCGTTACTCAGTATTCATGGACGTGTTTCTTTACACAGGGGTTCGATATGCCACATGGGCATTGTGTGAAGCCCATTTCCGGTGTCCTCTGCCGTGATATTGCTGGAATATTGCTAAAAACGGGGTAAAACAATACTCACTCCACTCCACTCCACTCCACTCCACTCCACTCCACTCCACTCCACTCCACTCCACTCCACTCCACTCCACTCCACTCCACTCCACTCCACTCCACTCCACTCCACTCCACTCCACTCCACTCCACTCCACTCCACTCCACTCGCTTGTCATGTTGAAGGCCGGGTCCGATTCCCCAAATGGGTACAGAGCCTCTTTCTGGTATCCTCTGCCATGCTGGAATATGGTGAAAAGCAGTGTGAAACCTCACTCACTCTCTTGCTCCCTTGTGTAGACTGATGCTCATGATGTCAATCACTGGATTGTCTAGTCTAGACTTGAATTTTTTCGAATGTTGCTGAGTGAGGCGCAAAACAACAAACAAACATACAAACCACATGAATGTGCAGATGCATGAATGATTGATTCATGATTGAGTCATTATGATTTGTAAATCCCTTTCTAATGAGTTTTCTCCAACAGTGCTAAGAAGGAAGAAGAAAAGGAGGCAGAGGAAGAATCATCTGATGATGAGGTTACCGTGGCAACTACAGAGGGTGAAGGTATGCCTTTGTCTCCATTTATGGCAATACGATGATCGTTGTTGATTTTCATGACAAAAACTTGAGTTCGATTCCCGGCAAGGGTACAGTGTGTGAAGCCCTCTTTTTTTTTGTTATGGCTGGAAAATTACTCCTTGGTAACTCTGTGGGAATTCCAGGTGAGAATATCTCATTCGCGGCTGTCAGTGACGGAAGTAAACAAAAATCTCCGTGCTCAATGGTGTCGAGCACCCTGATTGGTCTGAGCTCCAACAATAACAAACGCTCACGCTGATATTTACCAATCAGAGCGCTTGGCTCCATTGAGCACGGATATTCAGTCGACCGCCTCCGTGGTCTAGTGGTAGAGCGTCTGCCCGGAGAGCGGAAGGTCCGGGGTTCGATCCCCGGCCGCGTCATACCAAAAGATGTTAAAAGATGGTACTTGTTGTTACCCTGTCTGGCGCTTGGCATTAAGGGGCTAAAACAAGGACTGGTCGGCTCGGAGTTAGTATACTTTGTCTGAGTGGGGTATTCATATTAAACTGCGGCATGGTATCTCAGTGGGCTAGCACTATAAATCGGCATCAGTCCGATCTAGTACAAGCAGTCACGCACACACGCACATGTGCATGCACGTCGCTATATAAGTGCAATAATCTTGGACGCAACGTTAAACCCCATTTCACCTCACCTCACCAGTCAGTCGGTAGTACATGTTGGTGGACTCTGTTTGCAGGAGGGGTTCATCAGTGTGCAGTATGCAAGGTCCAGCTGGAACACTTCGGGATGAGTCGACCCCTTACCCGCAGCAACTGTGAGAATTATGGGATGTTAGAAAGCGAGGTGAAGCCCGAGATGCGAGTGTGCAGCAGCTGCCGATGTCGCTCTGTCCGACGCAGATACACACAGTGAGTCCATACATCCTCCTGCTCATCCCTAGTGCCACTCTTGGCGTAAATAGCAGGGACACGTCAACAGTCCGGATTTGAACCCCCATGCTTTTCCTGCTCTGTAGCAGATCACTTTTTTGGTGGTGGTAGTAGAATAAAAATGGATGTTTGAACCCTTTATTTAAAATAAAATTGACCTAAAATAATGCTGAAATTTTATGCTTTGAGTAGTGGAAATGAAATAGATGTTGAACCCTTTATTTAAAGTAAAATTGACCTAAAATAATACTGAAGTTTCGAGCTTTAAGTAGTAGAAATGTATTAGATGTTGAACCCTTTGTTGAAAGTAAAATTGACCTAAAATAATGCTGAAATTTTAAGCTTTGAGTAGTGGAAATGAAAGAGATGTTGAACCCTTTATTTAAAGTAAAATTGACCTAAAATAATGCTGAAGTTTCGAGCTTTGAGTAGTAGAAATGTATAAGATGTTGCACCCTTTATTTAAAGTAAAATGGACCTAAAATAATGCTGAAATGCTGGGTGATTATCAGGCCATGGCGTGGGCCTTGGTGCATTATTGCTAGATGAATCCCATCATCCGGAATGTTTTTTGTCCAGATGCCCTGTGCCTACATGCAAGACGCCTAAACGTAAAGTGAAGCGCCTGCGCCCCCTGCCGGCTAAATGGAGCGAACTGACTGCTGAAGTGAAGGAGCCCATTATTAAGGAAATGCGTAAGTTGCCACTAGTCCGATATACACACTGTACTGGGTATGTACACCTGTCAAGTCATATTCATGGATATATTGTCACAAGTACATATGTGTTGTCACAGGTACATGTGTATTTTTACAGCTCTATATCGTTACAGGTATATTTGTGTACTGTGTTGGGTATTATAATAATACAGTCTTTATTGTGGCATTAGTGCGGTAGTCCTATACAGTACGTAAAAGACAAGCATGAAAAATAACTGTTTTAAGACATTTTTTTGTATTTTCATTTTTATTTCAACTGCGATACTTTTCTTTTTTTCTGATCTACAAAGTACCTACCAACAAGCTAGTTTTGCAGGGTATTTATAAGTAATTTTAAGAAGTAACTTCTGTGGCAGTTTTCATTAGATACGATTTCAGATTTTATTATGGTCAAATAGAAATCACTTGACATGATGAAACAAGTTGACTTGAAGACTGAAATGACTCAATGGGAATATGTTCCAGAACTGACAGATGAGATAAGCAAGTGTTGTTCTGCCTGCTTCAATCGGATAGCTCGTAAACTCGGTACCAACCCACACACAAATGAGCCTATAGTAGCACTGGTCCCAGAAAACTTGGACGGTGAGGATTTAACACTCCACAGTCATAGCTTTAGCTGTTTTAACACCTTGAACATTTCACATAGAACTTGGTAATCAACTGTAAAAATTATCCTGTTGGTGTTCTTTTGAATTTCTGAGAACTGCTTTTAATATGATTTCGGAGAGTATGATGAGGATGTAGCTGTACCGGTAGTGTGGTTTCTTTTGTTATTTGGACTTGCAAGAACTTGAGAGTCAAATATCTGTCGCTGGTGACTGCTGTGTAATTAACCAGATGAAATTTTTATTCTTCTTAAAGTGACTATCTCCGTTGTAGAAGTTGTAGAGACCTCGCGGTGGACGGAGGAGGAGATGGAGGTGGCCAAGAACGGTGAGTCGTTGTCCTCGTTTTGCCGCCATCAACTCTGTCCATGTATACAGCAAGTGTAGGTTCTGTATACCACTGCATGCTTGAAGCAATCTGGTATGAAATCTCAAGACTGACCCTGCTAAATTATGTTTAGAAATGCAGTGTTGGTTGGTTGATTGGTTTGTTGTTTAACGCCGCACTCAGCAGTGTTCCAGCTATATGACGGCGGTCTGTAAATAATCGAGTCTGGACCAGACAATCCAGTGATTGATATCATGAGCATCTATCCACGCAATTGGGATCGATGACTGTGCATCAACCAAGTCAGCGAGCCTGACCAACCGATCCCGTTAGTCGCTTTTTACGACAAGCATAGTCGCCTTTTACGGCAAGCATGGGTTGCTGAAGACCCATTCTACCCCGGATCTTCACGGGTCAGAAATTCAGTGTATGGTATGGGATCCAGAAATTTCTTGATTTCTTGGTTACATGATTCCCATCTCCCAAGCCTATTTAAAGAAACAATAAAAATGGGATCAAGCTTCCCTAAGAGACAGTTAAAACAGGCTCTAAGCTTGTTTAAGGGTCGATTAAGAAGGGCATCAAACTTGTGGCAGAGACAAATAAAAGAGGCGTCAAGCTTGTCTAAGAGACGATGACAATGGGTGTCAGTTTGTTCCAACATGTGACCCAGCTGATTGTGTTTTATCATTCTCCTATGGCATACATCTTGCTCAGCTGTTTGTCTGGAACAGAATGAATAAAAAAAACAAATGCGTTTTTGATAAGCCCAATGCCCTGGTTGTGATGATCTGCTTGTGTGTTCAGGTCTGAGGGAACACGGCCGAGACTGGTCTGCGATAGCTGGCATGGTCGGGACCAAGACAGAGGCTCAGTGCAAGAACTTTTACTTCAACTACAAGAAGAAATTCAACCTGGAGGCCATTCTCCAAGAACATAAGGACAAGGTGAGTCCTTATCCAGTTGTACCCATGGAGAGGCCAGAGACTCCACCACGTGATTGGCTTCTTGATTGGCTTTCTCAACCACGCGATTGGCTTTCTCAACCACTGATTGGCTTTCTCAATCATGTGATCATGACATATGTGAGAGACTTCATACCTGATATAACTCCTATGTGCCCCGACCGCCTCCGTGGTCTAGAGGTAGAGCGTTCCCCTGGAGAGCGGAAGGTCCGGGGTTTGATCCCCGGCCGCATCATACCGAAAGACGTTTAAAGATGGTAGTTGTTGTTACCCTGTCTGGCGCTCGGCATTAAGGGGCTCAAACAAGGACTGGTCGGCTCGGAGTCGGTATACTGTGTCTGAGTGGGGTATGATGTTAAACTGCGGCATGGTATCTCAGTTGGCGAGCACTATAAATCGGCATCAGTACGGACTAGTACAAGCAGCCACACACGTGCATGCACGTCGCTATATAAGTGCAATAATCTTGGACGCGACGTTAAACCCAATTTCACCATCCTATGTGCCCCTTAGGAAGGTTTCTGACATATGATTGGATGACTGGGAAGGTCAAGTTCACACAGTATGAACTAGGCATCAAAAATTTATGAATGAGTTTTGACCAATATTATCTCAAATTCAGGGTCTTAAATCGTAATAACCTTTGGTTTACCTCCAGATAAAGTCAAGGTCACTAGAGGTCGACTTTTGAAACATGGTTTAAATCTCTTAAAATTACAGATTAATTCATGAAAAATCACATCATGATTGTGTCAAATGTCAAAGTCGCTTGATGAAGTTAAGGTAACTCAGTGGAACATGGAAATCCCCAAAAGCTTGTGCACACAATATCATGAACATTTATGATTAGAGTTTGACAAAGTTTCTATGAACATGATCTCTAGGCAGTTCGTGGCTTAGATTAAAGGTTAAGGTCATTAAACCGTAAGTGCTCATAACTTTGTTATTGCGGAAGCTAGAAGCATGGGACTTTTTGTTTCAAAGTTGTTCTGCATTGGCCATGTGTTTTCCAAAACCAGAAAGGATGTTATTAAAACGGAAAGTGCTTATGACTTGGTTATTAAGGAAGCAAGAAGCATTGGACTTTCTGTTTCAAAGTTGGACTGCATTGGCCTTAAATGGTTCGTGATACGTGGTAGTATTGGAAACAGAAATGAAGTACTAAAGGCTCAGAATACTGATTATTACTGCACTGTGAACAGGCTGACAAGCGAACAACGTCTATCTCCGAAAGTGTGGCATCGACAGTAACAGCAGCCTCGGATGCCGAGATGATGTCCAGCGATGAGGACAATGGTGCAGATGATGACTCCGACACTGCCAGCGCCCCCAGTCCCACAACATTGCCCATCGACGAAGGTGAGTCAGAAAGTGCATCATATTAGCAGAGAGCACAGATACAATCTTTCCCAAAAGAGGGGTGCGTTTGGTGATTACAAGTCAACGTGTTACATAACTGGATGCAAATAATGGCAGCTTACCATCTATGGTTTATTTTATTTAGTGGATAAGTACGTTCCTAAAATTAACCCAATTGGATTCCAGGTTCGAAGAGGTCCCCAGCATCCTGGGCTTGATTAATGGTTCAGGTGGTGGGGCTCAGTGAAACCAGTGTTTCACACAATCAGTATGTCTCTGAGACAATGATTGTAGCACTACTACTACTGTGACTCCTGTAACTTGAACTAAGGGTTAGCCATGGGGGTTCCGGGTTCCTTGGTTCATTGTGTGTCATCGTATCCCGACAGCATGGATTTTTGCTTATGATATACCGTATTCGACGTAATAAGCGCCCAGGGAAATAGGTGGCTCTTATTAGTTGAAAGATAAATTTCGTGGTTTATGGTGACAGCCTGAAATGTTTATGTACGACAGATATATTTTTCCAGAATTTAATTGCGCATAATTAAGGGTGCATATGACACACGGGTGTGCATATGTATACGCGAATAAATAAGTCTTATGTACTTTGATCAATCGGAAGGGGTGCTAATTAAGATTGTTTACTAGGCAATATATCAGCAAATATCGCCATGGGCGCTTATTAGAGCAGGGTGCTTATTATGTCGAATACGGTAAGTATATAAGATCAATCACTGGATTGACTAGTCCAGACTCTTATTTACAGGCAGCTGTCATTGGCTTGAATATTGGAGTGTGGTGTTATTGAATTCCCCCAAAATAATAAAGAGTAATTACAGACTTAAAATTGTCTAAGCGGTGATATTGCTTTGTGCAGATGGCCTTCGTCTTCTGTGTTGGTATTGACTTGTACATATTTGTTCATAGGTGAGGATTCTATTCCGAAGATTGATCCCATCCAGCCCCCGAGGGAGACTGAAATGGACCCCCCAGGACCCAGTCTCGGCCTGACACAGGAGAATCTGTCCCGCAACAAGACGCTGAGTGCAAGCCAGGGCAGCCTACGAAGCATCCCCGACAACGACAGCAGTGCCACAATGAGTGCTGATGAGGGCCCAGGGCCTGGACCTGGGGCAGGGGCTATCTCACACCACTCCCACTCAGAACCACCCCCACATGTTGCCCCACCTCCACCCCCAAGGCCAGTCAGCCAGCCAACTGGTGAGTCAACATTAAAATTAAAAAAAAAAAAAAAAAATTGAATTCAGTTTTAGATTTGAAAAAGAATTTTGTATTACAGTTTTAGAGGACCTTGAATAATTTTTTGGTAAGGGACAGAAATTACAACTAGCCTTCTAGCCACTAACACAGACACTTGGCCTAAAGTTAAATTTATCCTTTCCGCTAGTAGAACTTTGAAGTTTGATGGTGTCCTTCTTGTAGAACTTGAAGATTTTTCCCGTGTTAATCTGGGGCGGTCAGGTAGTCTAGTGGTTAAAGCGTTCGCTTGTCAGGCCGAAGACCCAGGTTCGATTCCCGACATGGCTACAATGTGTGAAGCCCATTTCTGGTGTTCCCCGCCATGATATTGCTGGAATATTGCTAAAAGCGGAATAAAACCATACTCACTCACTCTCTCCAGGGTTAATCTGACCATTGTTCATATGCTGCTCAACTTTTGAAACTGATGTTTTGTATTCTGTGGTACACCAACTGACTACTTATGACATGTATGTGTGAAAAGTTTGAATTATTTCATTATCCTCATCATAAGAGGAGAAGTGGATATTAAACTTAATCAATGAGACTTGATGGCTCATTGTCTGTAACCAATCTGTTTGTTACAGCAGAAACTAACGACCTGAAGTCACAGAGTCCACGACCACGCTCAAACACAGGCACCCCCATCAGTCAGCCTCCTTCCATCTCCCTGAGTGCCAGCCCAATCCCTGCCCCTAGAGAACAACCACAACACTCCACACCCACGCCGGGGGCAAACCTCCGCCCAGAGGGACATCCTGGTCAGAGAGATCCCAACGTTATTGATTTCTCCAATATCAACAAATCAGTTTCTCCATTCCCGAGTCATCTGATGGCTCCGGACATCCGTCTCTCTCCCCGTCCCCCCAGCACACACTCTGAAGGGAGCCGCAGCGCCATCTCACCTCACCCTCAGCAGTTTATCATGGATAAGAAACCAATGAAGCCAGCGTGTGTCCGAGACTTGATCCACTCCGCCATCGAGAGGAACCTTGGGCAGCCCAGTGAGAGATACTCCGACCAAATGCAGGACAGAAGCAGTGAGTGTATTGCTGATTAACTTGCTGGTTATCTTGCTGATGAAGTTGCTGATTATCTTGCTGATTGATTATCTTGCTGATTATCTTGCTGATTATCTTGCTGAATATCTTGCTGATTAACTTGCTGATTAACTTGCTGATTAACTTGCTGATTATCTTGCTTAATATCTTGCTTAATATCTTGCTGATTAACTTGCTGATTGTCTTGCTGATTCACTTGCTGATTGATTATCTTGCTAATTAACTTGCTGATTGACATTGATTATCTTGCTGATTAACTTGCTGGTTAACTTGCTGATTAACTTGCTGATTAAATTGCTGATTATCTTGCTGATTATCTTGCTGTTTAATTACCTTGCTGATTATCTTGCTGATTAACTTGCTGATTAACTTGCTGATTGATTATCTTGCTGATTAACTTGCTGATTAACTTGCTGATTAACTTGCTGATTAAATTGCCGATTATCTTGCTGTTTAATTATCTTGCTGATTATCTTGCTGATTAAATTGCTGATTATCTTGCTGTTTTATTATCTTGCTGATTATCTTGCTGTTTAATTATCTTGCTGATTATCTTGCTGATTATCTTTCTGATTATCTTGCTGGTCAGGGGCAGTGGGCTAGCATTGTGGTTGAAGTGTTTGCTCGTCATTCCAAAGGCCCTGGTTAAATTCCCAACAAAGCTGGTTTTGTTGATCCCATTTTTGGTGTGCCTCACTGTGATATTGCTGTGATATTTCTAAAAGCAACATAAAACCACACCCGCTCTCACTTACTGAACTATATTCTACCCTGTGCTTCGTCTGTTACAAATAATTGTCAATATGAAGAAACCAAAGCTCCACTTGTTACTTTCATCAATCCTGTTATCTTCGGTAGCCATTGAGGCATCCCACTCACTCACTGACTCACTCAATAAATGTATCCTCATATGGCAGGGGGGTTGGTCAGGTAGCCTAGTGGTTAAAGCGTTCGCCCGTCATGCCGAAAACCCGGGTTCAATTGTGATGCCCATTGCTGGTGTCCCCCGCCGTGACATTGCTGGAATATTGCTAAAAGCGGCGTAAAACCATACTCACTCACTCACTCACTCACTCACTCACTCACTCACTCACTCACTCACTCACTCACTCACTCACTCACTCACTCACTCACTCACTCACTCACTCACTCGGCAGGCCACCACAGTGATTAAAATGCTGACTTAACATAAAGAAACAATGGTGGTATTTTATCTCTGTAATGAAATAAGATGTTACCTGGAGCAACCAGTTTGGTTTAGAAGTTTGTCTTCTTATCCCAGACCACTATCTACTGTGACTTAACATTCAAAAACAATTTTCTCAGTCTCAGTCTTCTTATTTCAGGACCGCCATCTTCAGACCCAAACCAAAGACCTCCTGGTGGGCCTATGGCAAACTCTGGGATGCCCCAGGACCTGCGCAAGGAGAAGCGCGAGCCAATCATGCCCCCGATGCAGGGTGAATCACGCCCCATGCCCCCATACGGCATGGCCAGGCACATGGAGAGGGAAGGGCCACATGACCATAGGGACTCCAAGGATGCTACAGACTTGTCAAGGAGGCCTCTCGACTTCACGGACAAGGGACCTCATGGCTATAAAGGAGACCCTCGTGACTTCGATCCCCACAGACAACGCACATACGACTCCTACACACGAGCAATTGAAAGGGTCCCCAGTCAGATGGTGGTGCCTCCACCTGCCCATTCGCACCACGGCACTCCTGTGCACCAATCGGATGCAAGTCGAGGAAGACAGCCAGAAATGAGAGACAAATCCCCATCTTTGTATCCTCCTGAACATGGCCGGTCGTTGTCCCCGGCAGTAAGAGGTGGCATTCCCCCACAGTGCAGTTCCCCTTATGGACCTGAATCTGTGAGATCACCAGCTTCCAGAATCCCACCACCTCCACCGCTGATTAACAACTCTGCCAAGACCTCCCCCAAACTGACCCGCTCTCCCCCAGGGGGGCCTCATATGATGATACCCCCTGGCTCCATCACCCACGGCACGCCGGTCAGTCACCACTCCACCCCGTCCCCTGTGGGTCACCCTATGACCACTAGCCCTATCGGAAGGAGGATGGAAGGAGTAGCACGGCAGCCCACTCCACCCTCTGCAACACAACGAATGGAAGGGTCGATCACTAAAGGTACCCCCATGAACCGTGAAGGGGGTGTCGGGAGGGGGATGCCACCCGAGGGGATGCCGAGGATGCCAGGGATGATTGACCCGGCCGCTATGGGCAGGGGCCATCCCATGTATGAGGGTCCCTACAGACCCCCAGTGCCTGGAGGCTATGAAAGAGGGGAGGTACCCAAGGCTCAGTACTACCCATATCAATATGCTGAGCAGCCCAACTACAGTAGTTCCAAGCAAACAATCATGAGTGACTTTTTGACAGCTAAGCAGATGCCTCGAAGGTCACCCGCCGCTCAGGAAAAAGATGGACGTTTGTCTCCAAGAGGAAGAGAAAATGCACCAAGAAACTTCCCTGGCAATGTTGATCCTAGAAGCATGGATCCAAGATCCATGCAGGCTATGGTTCCTGTCCACACACAACAAGGAGTTGTTTATGTTAATCCAGCTCAGATTCCGGTTTCCACTGCTGACAGAGTTCAAGGCAAGACTTCACCCTTACCTCCTCGAGCAACACCATCCCCGAGGGATGAGAAGGGAATGTGGGGCCGCCCCCACGGACACCACAACCCCACCTCCACAGCATCCACACTTCCTCTGGATCAGCACCACCCACAGAGACCTAGTATTGTCATGGGCACCGGCAAGCCACCCCACATGGCGGAGATGATGTCAGCCCGAATGGAGCAGCAGAGTAGCGGCCCCGACAGCACTAGTGTCCAGCGACAGGCCATGTCTCCCAGACAAGCAGAGCAGCGGCATGCCGAGGCACAGATGTCGCACACGATGTTGATGGTGAGAGACCCAAACAGCCGACCTCGTCTTTCCCCAAGTCAACAGATGCAGTATCGGTACCCAGACCAGCAGAAGGAGGAGAGGATGGGCATGTCGGGCCCGTGGAACCAGCTCCAGCAGCGGGAAGAGCATGGCCAGAAACCCCGGCCATATGACGCCCGACAGATGCCAGAGCATGCACGGAGAGAGCATGAGAGGATGCCTGAGGCACAGATGTATCCAAGAGATGGACGCATGGTTCATGAACCTGGTATGATGTATGCTAAACAAGACGTCCGCGATGTGCGGGAGGTACGCGATGTCCGGGACGTACGGGACATGAGGGATGTCAGGGACAGAGATGAACCAATGTATGTAGACAGAGAGCCCAGACAGCCTGAAGTACAGTCATCGTCAGATTCCACTCCTCAAAGACAAATGACAGATCCAAACTACATCCGTCAAATGACGGGGGACCTGCCAGGATCTGCTATGATCCTGTCGGCCTTCCAGAAAGACTCAGCGGTGGCCCACACGGTCACCCAGCCGACATCTACCAGCACTGCTGCAAGAAGTCTGACGGCAGCTACACTGATTGATGCTATCATCACCCATGAGATCCATCATGCAAATCCGGAAGAGAAAAAGAACGAGCGTAGACCAGCTGCGGGTACAACACCGCCGATGAGCCGACAGTCAGAGATGAATAAACCACCTCAGAGTATGGACACATCAGATCCTGGTCTTCAAGGACCGTACAAGCCACCTCGCAAGTACCACAGTGATCCCCAAGCACAGTCCCGATCTGAGATGGAAGCAGAAAGACAAGGGTTGGCTCATTCAGGGCAACAGATTATTTCAGCCATGGCCGGGAGACAGATGGAAAGGGAGGGGAATGGTCCTCATATTGGCCATATCCCTGGCCCCAATGCATTACGTCAGTTCCATGCAGCACAGCAGGCAAATCAGCAGTACGCTCAAGCACAAGCTCAGGCCCAGGCCCAGGCCCAGGCTCAGGCACAAGCTCAGGCCCAAGCTCAAGCTCAGGCTCAGATTCAAGCTCAGGCTCAGGCTCAAGCTCAGGCTCAGGCTCTTCAGTTCAGTCAAAGTCAGAGTCAGATGCAGCATCAACAGCATCAAGGTCAAGGTCAAGGTCATCCTGGACCTCCCCACACTCAGGGTCATGGACTTGCTTCTTCACAGTCTCAAGGTCATGGTCAAACCAGTCATTCTGGAGGTCAGGGTTCAGGATCTTCTTCGTCCAAGGCCATTACACTCGGGGAACACATCGATGCAATCATTATCAATGACTACCACAGCAAAAGGTCAGGCCAGAACAAAGGTGCGAGTCTTCTCAGCCAAATCAACAGTAGTGGAAGTAAGTCGTCTTTGTAAATACTGTGCATGTTGTACAGCAACCTCTGCTGGTCGTACGACTGGTTGGATTGATGGGTCAGGCGGTCAGGATCAATGACTGACTGCCAGTATTCAATCAGAACCTCAGTTGTGGCTTGTTACTCATGATGTCACTCACTGGGTTGTCTGGTCCAGACTCTTATTATGTACAGGCCGTCATCATGTAGCTGGAATATTGCTGAGTGTGATTTTTAGCACACAAAAAAACAAGCAAACGACAAGCTCGGATGGAATATGGTTGTAATATTGCTGGTAACGACAAAGGATAGAACTTTAGCATTCCTGATTACACTATATGAGAACCAACTATGGCAGTCTAATGGATATCATTATATTTCTGACAACTGTTTACCATTAGGTCTCAGGGATATAGCTGTAATATTGCTGACAACTTACTGATAACTGTAAGGTCTCATGGCTATAGCTGTAATATTGTTGATAACTACCTGATAACTGTAAGGTCTCATGGATATAGCTGTAACATTGTTGATAACTACCTGATAACTGTAAGGTCTCATGGATATAGCTGTAATATTGTTGATAACTACCTGATAACTGTAAGGTCTCATGGCTATAGCTGTAATATTGTTGATAACTACCTGATAACTGTAAGGTCTCATGGCTATAGCTGTAATATTGTTGATAACTACCTGATAACTGTAAGGTCTCATGGATATAGCTGTAATATTGTTGATAACTACCTGATAACTATAAGGTCTCAGGGATGTAGCTATAATATTGCCGACATCGTCTTGTTCACTAACTATACAGATGTTGCTGTAATATTGCTGATGCAATTACCTAACTTCCAGCAAAAGGACAACCAGTCACCTCCACCCCATCTTTGATCGCCGAGCCACACCCGTCTTTAATGACCAGCCTGACGCCCCCAGTTTCTCGGACATCCCCATCCGAGGTGGGGTCCTCGTCGGACCCCCAGCGCCCCCGAAGTTACTCTGCAAGCACCCCCAACTATGAACAGGTCTACCACGCCAAGTGGAAGAAGAGGGTACAGCAACAGGTGGGCACAGTAACCATGGCAACATCATGGAGATTAGGGCTGGGACGAGTCCAAATTTACTACCGGGTACCCACCCCACCTATTACCCAACCCTACCCGAGTACCCACTGTAGGTCTCAAGAGATAGGTACAAAATGTCTGATTGGGAATTTTTTTAACCATAGCCCTGGAAAACGTATTGAGATACATGTATTAAACAATCTCGTCATGCATACACTGAAGTTGACTTTGTTACTAGTATGTCTTTATTCAACCACATGAAAAGTCAGAAGGAATGGGTTCATAGTCAGAAAGAAATGCGAACTTTAGTGACTTGTAGTGTAACCATAGAGTTCTGGATACTTTTTGTCATTAACCAATATATCACATGACTAACCAGGGGTCCGGGTAGTCCTGTGGGTACCCGGGTCCTACTCAGTACCCACCCGACCCGGGTACCTGAGTTACCCGTCCCAGCCCTAACGGGAGATGACATTTCAGAGTTAAAAACATTCATGTTGCCATGGGGGCGGTCGGGTAGCCTAGTGGTTAAAGCATTCGCTCGACACGCCGAAGACCCGGGTTCGATTCCCGACGTGGGTACAATATGTGAAGCCCATTTCTGGTGTCCCCTGCCGTGATATTGCTGGAATATTGCTAAAAGCGGCGTAAAACCATACTCACTCACTCACTCACTCACTCACTCACTCACTCATGTTGCCATGCTTACTACAACCGTGTTAGTTTACAATACTGACTTGTATAGAGGATGTCCTCCTGTACACCCCTGCATCCATTCCCCTGGTTCTCATACCACTGGGATGTGAACGTTTACTGTGACGTTAATTGTAAAACCTAGATATTATAATTGAAATGTAAAACCTCAAAGCAGGTTTAGAAGTGATCTATTTCAAAACCTAGCTTTGAACGAGAACCGCTTCAAAACCTGGGATTGGAAGATAAGCTGGTTACCAGGTTTACCCAAGGTTGTCAGGAACTTATTGCAATATAGGGTAATATAGGGTGATAGGTTTATAATTACTATTTTCATACTGATAAAATTTGGAAGAATGATTTTGGATGATAAATAGAATCTCACCCTTGTATCTTTTGTCGATGAAAGTTAGAAATCCTCAGCAAGGTTTGGAGTTTGAAGCATTTATAGACTCGTGTTGATATGTCTGATATCACAAGGGTGAGACTCAAACATCCTACAGTTTGATCTAGCAGTAACACAAATTTGACTTGACTTGTATCAAGTTTGAAAGGACTGCCTAATTTCCCGAGCCTGGTGCCCTTTAACTATAAAAATGGCTCCAGGGGGGCACAGGGTGGCCCAGTTGTCTAAAGTGCCGCGATTCGCTGTGCAGAGTTACGTCCCTTTGGCACGCCAGAAACCTATGATTGTGGGTTTGAATCTCGGTTCGCCCCGATTATGTTTCTAGGTTTGTCAGCACCATACCCGTGCTCGAGGGTTTCACCGAAGTGGTAAACGTCTGAGACCTGCATCACTTCGGGCTTTCCTCCCACATTAAGCTGACATGCCGTGATATAACTGGAATACTGTTAAAAGCGGCGTTAAACCCAACTCACTCACTCACTCACTCACTCACTCACTCACTCACTCACTCACTCACTCACTCACTCACAAATGGCTCCAGCATGGTGATTTATATAGAGAATATTATATTCGTGTTCATGTCATACTATGTTTACAACACAAGTGTCAAAACACCGGAATTTAGCCACTGGTGTTGATAAACATAGTATGACATGAACACCAATATTAGGTTTCTATCTATTACCAAAGAAGATGTCTACATACAGAGACAAATTTTAGTGTTTACCTGTTAGGACCACACGTCGCAACAGCAGCGGAACCTCAATTTGTCAAATGGTGTAAATAATCTTGAGCTATGATATCATTTCTAGTGTGACCTCACGACACAATAAGATTCAAATGACGTCAACATTGCCGTCCGGATAACAGAAACAATACACTGTTGTCTGGTCACGTGATGTGACCCTAGGACACATGTGATTTTTATTAACCCCGATGTGTTGGCCCTCGAAGATAATTTTTTGTGTTATGTTTGCAGCAGGAAATCGAAGCCTCTAGCCACCAGGAGTCTCTGTCCTCGTCTTCAATGCCGTGTCCCTCCCCTCACTCGGGGGTAGAGAGTGAGGGCCTGAGGGTGCCCAGCAAACACAACAGTCCCCAGGGCATGGAGCGGGGTGGGCTCCACGCCGACCAGTCCCGCTCCCCCCAGCCTCCTCCCTCCTCACTGCCCGGCCAGCCTCACCTGGACAGCGTCGTCATAGAGCCTGTCTCTCCCACCCCAGGTAGCCCTATGCCACATATTCGCAGGTGTTCTAACTTTCTACCCTATTCTAGTTTATGTTTCACTGCTGCCACTGCTTGTGTCCCTGTCATCAGCTGCTCACGCTCCTCACAGACGCCATCCCTGCCCATTCAGCTCCTGCACATCCATCTTTGATTGCCTTACATCCATCTGCTACGTAGGCTACGTAGAACTGCTGTTTAGTAGCCATAGTAACATGAATGCCTAAACACACACATTTCATGCTCCAGACGCGAGGTTCGGAGACTTCAGCCCAGCACCGTGTATATGCTTGTACTAACTGTGTAACATGAGGATAGGGTAGTGATTTGTCACCTGGCTGCAAGTGTGTCATCTTGCCTGAACGGCATGGATCAGTGTTCATGCTCGAAACCAGTGGTTTGCCAGATTCATTAATTACAGACATGAGTGATAAAGCTGTATACAGCTTACTGTGGTGTATCACTCACTCACTCACTCACTCACTCACAGAACAATACCAACTCACTCACTCACAGGACAATACCAAGCAGGCACTTGAACACCTAAACCTTGTTATCTTCGGCAAAGCTGTTTCAGACAGTGAGCATTGTGAAGATGCTTCCCGAACTACCAGGAGGCTGCTGTGCAATACCATGGTGTACTGATTCATGGCTGCGCCTCTCATTTACTGATCATAGTACCACTCAGGTGTAGATTTGACAACCCGTAGACAAAGTTCTCAGTACTTTGACTCCCTGATTCCCTGCTAACTGTAATATTGCTGTCGACGGTCCTGTATTGTATAGCTGTTATGTTGCTGACTACAGACTTGGGTGATATGACTGTGTAATACCCCAGTGGCTGCTAACTGTAGTATTGCTGTTGACAGCTACAGGACATGTTTGTATAGCTGTTATGTTGTTGACTACAGGACATGGTTGTATAGCTGTTATGTTGCTGATTACAAGACATGGTTGTATAGCTGTTATATTGCTGACTACAGGACATGTTTGTATAGCTGTTATGTTGTTGACTACAGGACATGGCTGTATAGCTGTTATGTTGCTGACTACAGGACATGGTTGTATAGCTGTTAAATTGCTGTCGACGGTCCTGTATTGTATAGCTGTTATATTGCTGACTACAGGACATGGTTGTATAGCTGTTATGTTGCTGATTACAGGACATGTTTGTATAGCTGTTATGTTGCTGACTACAGACTTGGGTGATATGACTGTATAATACCCCAGTGGCTGCTAACTGCAATATTGCTGTCGACGGTCCTGGATTGTATAGCTGTTATATTGCTGACTACAGGACATGGTTGTATAGCTGTTATGTTGCTTAGTACAGGTAAGGGAGATATGCTGTAGCATCGCCGACTATGACAAGAAACCACACACACTCACTCACTCACTCACTCAACATTGAATCATACCTCTACCATGTATGTCATACAGAAACAGTAGCACTCTCACACGTAGGCCCTCAGATTGATCCAGACACCACCAGTAAAGTCACACTCATTGCACTAGATACAAGAGTTTGCACCTGACTACAGCACAGACAAGGCCTCCTCAGTGTTTAGGGAATGTTTGCATGGCTTCCATCTTGGCGCCTCCTCCCCATCATCTCATCACGTACTCCAGTGTGCGGACGTAAGTACTGGGGGATGCCAACTCTGGATACTGTTCAAATATATAGCTCGAGGATAACAGTAAGAAATACCAAACTGGAGTGTTTTAAGTAACTGCCATCAATTTGATTCCTTGTCAGTATACTTTTTCAGACCTCAAACAGTTGAAATTTGAAGGCTTTCAGTTAATGTGCAGTTTTGAAGAGATGGGATCTCAATATGATGTCATTTATTCCATAAATTGTTAAGAATCAGGGATGATCTCTGACAAAATATAAGTTATCAAAGTTATTACAATTTCCATTTTACTCATGGGTTTTTTGGGGGGGGTTTTCGTGTTTTTTTGTCGCATTGTTCAATGAGATTTAACAAGAAATATGCTTTGATTCCAAGTCCAGCACTTTCCTCACGTTTACACATGTATGACAACATGTAAGTTAATGTGGGTGAAGGCTGAGGGGTCATGTGAAGGGTCAGGGTCAGGGTCAGATAAGGTCAGCCCTATCCCTGACCCCAGTAGGGAGTTCTGGGGCTTGTCTGAAGGAGAGAAAAAAGTATTTTTAAGTTCAGTTATCGCTTAAACTCTCATTTGATAAGCTGAGACCGGGCTGACTTATGGAGTTTAACTTCTTTTACTCTTTCAATATGATGCATCAGTACAGACACTTGTACCTTTGCCGCATCATCTTCATTGATACTATGGCTTCTACGCCACTTAATGATGTTGAAATGACAGCTTCGGATTGGTTTTCAAAGATGTTTTTTATTATTATTAAGGGTCTTCGGGACTTTGACCTCTAGCAGGTTATGGTTTAATTCATAGACTCAATTAAATTAAATTCTCACAACAAGAGAAGTGCTATCTTGTGGAATGTAAGCTTCAAGAAGGGAGATAAGTCAGTAGTTATACGAAGGGCAGACCACTAGAAAATAACTTTACATAAAGTATTAAGACACTGAAATTATCCAACTAATCCTCTTCATGAATTAGTTTGGGTATTGTGTAATTCTTGGAAACTTTTAAGTTATTTTAAGTTATTGTCTATGGTGGCAGAGAAGAAATACAACGTTGTATAGTACAAGGTGACAAGTTACTGACAACATACAAAAGTGTCTCACTCTTATCATGTTCCTATTACTGAGGGGTGGTGGGGTAGCCTAGTGGTTAAAGTGTTCATCTCATCACCCTGAAGACCTGGGTTTGTTTCCAAACATGGGTACAATGAATGAAGCCTATTGCTAGAATATTGCAATCATCGGCATAAAACCATTCTCACTCACTCCCTCCCTCCTATCACTGATGCATCCCGGGATCGGGTGGTCAGGCTCGCTGACTTGGTGGATGCATGTCATCATATCCCAATTGCGTGGATCGATGCTCATGATGTCAAACACTGAATTGTCTGGTCCAGACTCGATTATTTAAACTGCCGTCATATAGCTGGAATATTGCTGAGTGTGGCGTTAAACAACAAACAAACCAAACCAAACCACTGATGCCTCCGGCAGAATATCGTGCACTGGAGGGTATAAACAATGTTAATAAATCGCCCAGAACAACTGCTTTAGCTGTTTGGGATTTTGTTCCTCTGCATCCTGTTGAAATTCTATGCGACCAACTCCATGATGCTGCTAATATCTATTCTATTCATGTGTACATACTGCCACACAACTCGTAAGAGATGTCCCTTGACCAGAATGAGCTTGCCAGCTTTGCATTAGGCCTTTTGTGTGCCACTATATATCTGCAGTAAGAAACAGGTGCTCTGAATGCTGGCTTTGGATGTTTTATGTTTCCTTATTTAGTAATGTCATAGTATGAACATGTATTGATATCCTGACACATAGATACATCTGCAGTTACACATCAGTTGGTTGTCAGGAATACTTCATATTAGGATTGGTGTACTTACTACCGATGGTATGCCCCCGCCAAATAGGACTCTTTATATCATGGTATGCCCGTTCAATATCAGGATATTATTGTGATGGTATGCCCCCGCCAAATAGGACTCTTTATATCATGGTATGCCCGTTCAATATCAGGATATTATTGTGATGGTATGCCCATGCCAAAAAGGACTCTTTATATCATGGTATGCCCGTTCAATATCAGGATATTATTGTGATGGTATGCCCATGCCAAAAAGGACTCTTTATATCATGGTATGCCCGTTCAATATCAGGATATTATTGTGATGGTATGCCCATGCCAAAAAGGACTCTTTATATCATGGTATGCCCGTTCAATATCAGGATATTTAGTGAGATGGTATGCCCATGCCAAAAAGGACTCTTTATATCATGGTATGCCCGTTCAATATCAGGATATTTAGTGTGATGGTATGCCCATGCCAAAAAGGACTCTTTTATATCATGGTATGCCCCCGCCAAATAGGACTCTTTATATCATGGTATGCCCGTTCAATATCAGGATATTATTGTGATGGTATGCCCATGCCAAATAGGACTCTTTATATCATGGTATGCCCGTTCAATATCAGGATATTATTGTGATGGTATGCCCATGCCAAATAGGACTCTTTATATCATGGTATGCCCGTTCAATATCAGGATATTATTGTGATGGTATGCCCATGCCAAATAGGACTCTTTATATCATGGTATGCCCGTTCAGTATCAGGATATTATTGTGATGGTATGCCCATGCCAAATAGGACTCTTTATATCATGGTATGCCCGTTCAATATCAGGATATTATTGTGATGGTATGCCCATGCCAAATAGGACTCTTTATATCATGGTATGCCCGTTCAATATCAGGATATTATTGTGATGGTATGCCCATGCCAAATAGGACTCTTTATATCATGGTATGCCCGTTCAATATCAGGATATTATTGTGATGGTATGCCCATGCCAAATAGGACTCTTTATATCATGGTATGCCCGTTGAATATCAGGATATTATTGTGATGGTATGCCCCCGCCAAATAGGACTCTTTATATCATGGTATGCCCGTTCAATATCAGGATATTATTGTGATGGTATGCCCATGCCAAATAGGACTCTTTATATCATGGTATGCCCGTTCAATATCAGGATATTATTGTGATGGTATGCCCATGCCAAATAGGACTCTTTATATCATGGTATGCCCGTTCAATATCAGGATATTATTGTGATGGTATGCCCATGCCAAATAGGACTCTTTATATCATGGTATGCCCGTTCAATATCAGGATATTATTGTGATGGTATGCCCATGCCAAATAGGACTTTTTATATCATGGTATGCCCGTTCAATATCAGGATATTATTGTGATGGTATGCCCATGCCAAATAGGACTCTTTATATCATGGTATGCCCGTTGAATATCAGGATATTATTGTGATGGTATGCCCATGCCAAATAGGACTCTTTATATCATGGTATGCCCGTTCAATATCAGGATATTATTGTGATGGTATGCCCATGCCAAATAGGACTCTTTATATCATGGTATGCCCGTTCAATATCAAGATATTATTGTGATGGTATGCCCATGCCAAATAGGACTTTTTATATCATGGTATGCCCGTTCAATATCAGGATATTATTGTGATGGTATACCCACACCAAAAAGGACTCTTTATATCATGGTATGCCCGTTCAATATCAGGATATCATTGTGATGGTATACCCACACCAAGTAGGACTCTTTATATCATGGTATGCCCATTCAATATCAAGATATTATTGTGATGGTATACCCACACCAAATAGGACTCTTTATATCATGGTTTGCCCGTTCAATATCAAGATATTATTGTGATGGTATACCCACACCAAATAGGACTCTTTATATCATGGTATGCCCATTCAATATCAAGATATTATTGTGATGGTATACCCACACCAAATAGGACTCTTTATATCATGGTTTGCCCGTTCAATATCAAGATATTATTGTGATGGTATACCCACACCAAATAGGACTCTTTATATCATGGTTTGCCTGTTCAATATCAGGATATCATTGTGATGGTATACCCACACCAAATAGGACTCTTTATATCATGGTATGCCCATTCAATATCAAGATATTATTGTGATGGTATACCCACACCAAATAGGACTCTTTATATCATGGTTTGCCCGTTCAATATCAAGATATTATTGTGATGGTATACCCACACCAAATAGGACTCTTTATATCATGGTATGCCCGTTCAATATCAAGATATTATTGTGATGGTATGCCCATGCCAAATAGGACTCTTTATATCATGGTATGCCTGTTCAATATCAGGACATTATTGTGATGGTATGCCCACACCAAATAGGACTTTTTATATCATGGTATGCCCATTCAATATCAGGATATTTAGTGTGATGGTATGCCCACGCCAAGTAGGACTTTTTATATCATGGTATGCCCATTCAATATCAGGATATTTAACATGATGGTATGCCAATTCACTATTGGGAATGGCCACTCAACTTATGACTTTTTATATCATGGTATGCCCATTCAATAACAGAATATTTAGTGTGATGGTATGACCACTCAGTATTTGAAATGGCCTCTCGAATTGGGATCTTTTATATCATGATATGCCCATTCATTATCAAGCTACTCACCAAGTACTGTCGGACTGCCTAGTCAAGTGATCCCTCATGTCAATTGCCTTCAGTTGATGTCCACTGGTTAAGACTAATATGAGTATCGGGATGTCACATTGACTATTGATAGTGGGTTGATATTAGTCCTGCACCGTGACTGTGGAATTTATATTTTTTAGGTATTTATTTTTTCTGAAAGCCTAGGCAAGTCTAGATCAAACTAACCAAGTCTAGTTTGCTTGATTCCACATATGAAAACAGCAAAAGAGGAAAGGTTCTTTCGAAAAAATAGTTTAATTATTTTAAAGACATGTTTTCGTTGACTAGATTGATATATGCTGTAGGGAATAAACAAGGTGTCATTTGTACTGTTTGTTTGTACCTTGAGAAATATCAAAGATAACAAGTTACTTACCAGACACTTGCATTTCACCCTTATTTTGTTGAGAACGGCTTTGGCTTTGTGTTCCCTTGAAATTTTGCATCAGTATGTCAAAATACAGGACCTCTGTTAAAATGTTCACCTCTAAACAGCCCTCTGTTGCCGACCATTTAGAACACCATATGTCTAAAAAGCCCTCTGTTGCTGACCATTTAGAACATCTTATGTCTAAACTGCCCTCTGTTGCTGACCATTTAGAACACTGTATGTCTAAACAGCCCTCTGTTGCTGACCATTTAGAACACCGTATGTCTAAACAGCCCTCTGTTGCTGACCATTTAGAACACTGTATGTCTAAACAGCCCTCTGTTGCTGACCATGTACAACATCTTATGTCTAAACAGCCCTCTGTTGCTGACCATTTAGAACACCGTATGTCTAAACAGCCCTCTGTTGCTGACCATTTAGAACATCTTATGTCTAAACAACCCTCTGTTGCTGACCATTTAGAACACTGTATGTCTAAACAGCCCTCTGTTGCCGACCATTTAGAACATCTTATGTCTAAACAGCCCTCTGTTGCTGACCATTCAGAATATGTTTCGTCTAAACAGCCCTCGGTTGCTAACCACCTCCTTTGAAACATCTTTTGTCTAAACAGACCTCTGTTGCAGACCATTTGGAATGTCATAAGTCTAAACAGACCTCTGTTGCTGACCTTTTCGAACATCTTATGTCTGAACAGTTCCTTTTGGCTGATCCCCTCCTTTGAAACATGTTATGTCTAAACAGCCCCCTGTTGCCGACACACAGTAGGTATATTGTTGACCAATGCAGACCCCACACATTCTGCTGCTAGATGTCCCCTATATTTGCCTTGTATGTATCATGTCCTTTGTGTTTGTGTTTCAAGTTGACTGATCTAGCTTTATGGTTATATTGGCAGGCCACCACCCCCACCACCAGCCAGCCGACAGCAGTGGCCAGGGCCCCACTACGTCCGAGACTACACCCGCTACTAAAGCTAAGCCAGAGTTCAACATCAACACCTTGGACTTTATTATGAGGAGGAGAATAGAGAAAGCGTTAATGGAGGAACCTAGCCCCAGTCAGTCGGAGCAGCAGATAGAGTCCTCCGTGCCATCACTTTCTCAGCCTCGCCTAGGTCAGCAGCAGCAGCATGCTGCCGAGTCTTCAGTGTCACCCTCGCTTGCCGCTTCTCGGCTTGTGACACAGCAACAGCAGCAGATGCCACCCAGCCAGCCTCTGCCTTCAAACCGCCAACTGCTTCAGCTTCCAGACACTCGACAAGATGCACGCCAGCAACCAGGAGATAGTCGACTAGGTCATCAGGACAGTAGGTCTTCGGACTCCCAACCCGGTCCACCTGATGGAAGGACTTCTCAACAGCAGCAGGAAGCTTTCCCCAGCAGCTCATCTCAAGTTGATCCGTCATCTGCCCAAGCTCAGGAATCAGATGATCGTCACATGCCTGGGATCCGACCAATGGTGGCTGTTTCGGCAGCAGCAGAATCCTCGGAGGCTAGCCATGTAAGTGCGGCCACCCCACACTATCAACAGCCCAAGAAGCGTGGCATGACAAGGCCTCAGGGCAAATTTGCTGCTCCAACCAGAGATCTGCCTCGCCCTTCATCTGCTGCAGATATGCAAAAAGCGACATCTTCAGGGAAGAAAAACAAGTCCTCAGAATACGATTTTCCCGATAGTCCTGAAGAGGAGGGAATCAGGAAAACCCCAAGTAGCTATATGGCTTTATCAAGTTCTCTGTCACGGAGTCCGAGGCGGGGGCACGTGGACAGCTCCGAGAGCCGCTCAGATGGCAGCAGCAAAGGTGAGGGAAACATTGGCAGTTCCGTTGATGAGGGGGCGAGCGGAGATGGAGATAAGGTGACATCGCAAAGCAAGGACCCAAATGAGGCTCAAGGTTACGCAAGCTTCCTTGTTGGGCAGCAGGTTTCGGATAGCTCCCATTTGGGGATGGAACCCGAGTCGCGGAACTTTCCACGCAGCAGATTCGGAGGGCGAGCGGAGAGTGGAGAAGCTGATGAAAGTTCCAACATCTCTCACCCGAGTATCGACAGCACACACTCTGACCACATGGTCATTGATGAATCCGACATCGGCAGCTCCACGGGTGCAGACGTCTCCTCAGGTGGTCCGATGGTGGACAGACCTCGGTCTGCCAAGAGCTCCCCTCGTGTTCATGACAACAGTCCTCAGTGTAGCACAGATGTTTCTTACGAGGCAGCAGACAATACAAGCCAGAGCCGAGGGGGGTCGGACAATCTCCCTTCCATGTCCTATGTTCAGCGATCTCGCAGTCCACGAGCAGTGGAGTCCAGCTTCATGGGAGTGGACGTCAACAACCGACCGCACTCGAGCTCCGACCTGCCAACAAGCATGGCGTCCGTTATCCCTGGGTCAGGGGACGTCAGTAGCTATTCCTACTCCAACCCTGCTCAACCTGTTGTGTCTAGCATGATCGTGGAGGCCGAGCATGCCGTCATCTCCCGTGACCAGGAACCCATGCCCTTATACTCAGCTCAGTACGAAATGCTCTCAGATGATGATGACTAGTCCAGACACGCTAGTTTTAACACAAAAGTCACGTCATTTGTGTATGTACGCATTACAAGCTTCTCAAACTGGGTGATGTAAAAAGGGATTTTTCTTCATCGATTTTTTGAATGTTTAATAAGAGATGAAATTTTGCATAAGGACAATATGTGTGTTGACATATCACTCCACAAACTGCCATATGACTCAACTCGTTGTCGCAGTCCGATGTACATGTCAGTGGAAACTTGTTTTGTATTTCAGTATGTACTAGAGCATGTGTCAAGGGATGAAGGGGAAGAAAACAGTTCCCCATGGCCATCAACATGCCTCTATCTTGTCTCATTCATCTGCTTGTATTCTTTCAAACACTGTGTTCGAGATTTTGTTGAATGTACAATGTTAAGCTTAGTTCCATTCTTCTTGATAGTGTCATCATGGTGCATCAGCAGATCCAGGTCTGTTGAATTCACAAAGGACACCCAGTTTATACTTGATCATTGTAGACTATTCAGTATGGTTTTCCATGTCAGTCAAGCGATATGGTATCTCCGATTTGTCATCCGTTCGTAGATTCAGTTTTATATTGGATAATTCACTGCTGAATGGCAGAAGTACTTAATTTTGGGAAGACATTTAATCATTGATGAGTAGTGTTCACCCAAACTACTGAAGGGTGTGAATTACATTTCGTTAATTTTACAAAATACTAATTTTTTGTGTGACTAGAATATTTAGAAATACAGTAGGATGAACGTAAGCTAAGCTATGGGTAAAAGTCTGATTATGTAACACGATCACTTAAGTACTCATAGTATTATTATTATATATTTTAGAGACAATGATGACAGTTTGATGGGTCTATTGATTGTTGCAGTAAACAGTTGACTTTCTTTTTATTGTCCGTCATATAGCTGGAATATTGCTGAGTGCGGCGTTAAGCAACTGACAAATCTTGGGTACTTGGGTACAACTTGTGTTAATGATTTTATGTGTCTCAAGTGCTTCACAGAGTTTGTAGGGATGAACTATTAACATGAATGGATGGTGACCTGTGAGAGATGAGTGTAATGTTGATGTAGTGGGTGGTGAGTGTATGTGTGTGCCTGTGTTGGAGAGATTGTGTGTTATTTGGTGTCATATGTCAATGTCGTGTTCCATGTTGGTGTGGTGTGTCCGTGTGTCGGTGAGAGGAAAAGAGGATGTGTGTGTTGGGAGGGGGGAGGCGACTGATAAATATAATACTCAACATTTGATAGGGATATTTTGAGTGTCCAGGAGGAAGGTAAATCTGACCGGTTATTTGGAGATCTCATACAAACAGGATGCAATTTGGACAAGAAACTGACATGAAGCTTCATTTCAAGCAATATTAAATAAAACATTAATTAAACATTTAAATATGTTGTCTCCCGACCTTCAAAAGTGTGAGCTGGCCCATTATCCTTATCAAGAGTTGAGTATTATATGTGGGCGCCATGCCTGAGCTTTGGGTGGGTGGATGTTTGTGCGGTGTACATGTTTGCATACAATGTCGGGATGTCGTGCCAGCTCCCTGTGGCTCGGTGTCTGGTGAATGGTTCATACATCCCTGCAGATCTTGTACTGAGGATGAGCTGCAGATTGGCTCATGTGGATGTACCTCACTGTTAACATTATCTTGTTATTCATATAAAAAAACAAATCAATGTGCACTGTGTTTGTTGTCTTTGTAGGTTTGTTTGTTGTTTAACGCCACACTCGGCAATATTCCAGCTTTATGACAGCCCCAATTGCGTGGCTCGATGCTCATGATATTAATCACTGGATTGTCTGGTCCAGACTCTATTATTTACAGACCGCCGTCATATAGCTGGAATATTGCTGAGTGCAGTGTTACAACAAACCAACATACCAACTTTACGACAGCGGTCTGTAAATAATCGAGTCTGGATAAGACCATTCAGCGAGTGATATCATGAGCATCGATCCATGCAATTGGGATACGATGACATGCATCAAATAAATCGGTGCGCATGACCACCCGATCCAGTTAGCCGCGTCTTACGACAAGCATAGTCGCCTTTTATGGCAAGAATGGGTTGCTGAAGACCTGTTCTGATCCTTCACAGGTCTGTCTTTGCGTGACGCGTCATAGTACCAATATGGGGCACATGAGGCCCAGTTGTCTAAATCACTGCAAATTGGTCCAGAGAGGGACAACCTTTAGAATCATGCAAGAATCCTTGGATAGTGGGTTTGAAACCCATACTTGCCCTGATGGTTTCTAGGTTTGTAAGCACCATACCTATCCTCATGTAGGACATAACAGCTGATACACACCAGGCTGATACATGTAGGACATAACAGCTGATACACACCAGGCTGATACACACCAGGCTGATACATGTAGGACATAACAGCTGATACACACCAGGCTGATACACGTAGGACACAACAGCTGATACACACCAGGCTGGTACATGTAGGACATAACAGCTGATACACACCAGGCTGATACATGTAGGACACAACAGCTGATACACACCAGGCTGATACACGTAGGACACAACAGCTGATACACGTAGGACACAACAGCTGATACACGTAGGACACAACAGCTGATACACACCAGGCTGATACACGTAGGACACAACAGCTGATACCCACCAGGCTGATACATGTAGGACACAACAGCTGATACACACCAGGCTGATACACGTAGGACACAACAGCTGATACACGTAGGACACAACAGCTGATACACACCAGGCTGATACACGTAGGACACAACAGCTGATACACACCAGGCTGATACATGTAGGACACAACAGCTGATACACACCAGGCTGATACATGTAGGACACAACAGCTGATACACACCAGGCTGATACATGTAGGACACAACAGCTGATACACACCAGGCTGATACATGTAGGACACAACAGCTGATACACACCAGGCTGATACATGTAGGACACAACAGCTGATACACACCAGGCTGATACATGTAGGACATAACAGCTGATACACACCAGGCTGATACATGTAGGACACATCAGCTGATACACACCAGGCTGATACATGTTGGACATAACAGCTGATACACGTAAACGTGACCTGCATCACTTCAGGCTTTCCTCCCACACAAGGTAACATGCTGAACCATGTAACTGAGATACTGTTTAAAGTGGGGTTTAACCCAATGTTCTTGCTCCGAGTGTTAACAGGAAAACAGAGGAAGAATGGCTCATGATTGAGGAATGTAAGACTGATATCCGAGAAAGTTATTGAACCTAGACCTGTTGACATTTGTTTATTTATTGTTTAACACTGCACTCAGCAATATTCCAGCTGTATGACGGCGGTCTGTAAATAATCGAGTCTGGACCAGACAATCCAGTGATTGACATCATGAGCATCGATCCACACAACCGGGATACGATGACATGCATCAACCAAGTCAGCGAGCCTGACCACCTGATCCTGTCAGTGGCCTTACAACAAGCATAGTTGCCTCTTACGACAAGCATGGGTTGCTGAAGACCTATTCTACCCCAGATCTTCCTGGACCAGAATCCCCATCTGGTGCTTAGTGACACAGGTTTCTCCTAAAAATTGTCTAAGATCAACAGGTTCCAATACGAAACCAGGGTCACCACACTGTACCTCACCTGTTCATATTGATTATTACATAAACATTCACAACAACAGCTTTGGGCCAGATGATTTACGATTTGTTACCACCTGAAAAGCTGTTTAATTCTTAATGCACACCTGTGGTTTTATTTTTTGATTGACGCAGCACTCTGCAATAATCCAGCTATATGACGGCTGTTTGTAAATAATCGAATCTGGATCAGATGATCCAGTGATTGATATTGTGAGCATCAATCTATGCAAATAGGTAATGATGACATGCATCAACCAAGTCGGCAAGCCTGACCCAATCCTGTTAGTCGACTCTTACAAGCATGGGTTACCCTATGGAGTAGTTCATTGAGTCTTATACAAAACGGCTGATACACACCAGGGTGGTACATGTAGGACACAACAGCTGATACACACCAGGCTGGTACATGTAGGACATAACAGCTGATACACACCAGGCTGGTACACGTAGGACACAACAGCTGATACACACCAGGCTGGTACATGTAGGACATAACAGCTGATACACACCAGGCTGATACATGTAGGACATAACAGCTGATACACACCAGGCTGATACATGTAGGACATAACAGCTGATACATGTAGGACATAACGGCTGATACACACCAGGCTGATACACGTAGGACACAACAGCTGATACACAACAGGCTGGTACACGTAGGACATAACAGCTGATACACACCAGGCTGATACATGTAGGACACAACAGCTGATACACAACAAATACTAGGAGATGTATGAAAAGCAATTTTTATTCAATCAAAAATAAGTTGAAGTTAGGGATGTCATTGTACATGTATATCTAAAAAAAGATACATAATTATTTTATCATGTTTATATTGATACTGTATTGACAAAAAGTAAGATTATTAATACTAAATAAATAATTCTCCGGCACAGAAACATTTACCTAGATAACATGTACATTTGTACAATGGTAGAAAATTCAGTTTTAAGCGTTTAATGGATCAGCCTTGTTCAGATAGATTTTTTTATAACTATACACAGACAGAAAGACTAATTTTGTTATTTATCGATAAATTATGATACTTTTGAGTTGACATATCGTCACAAAATTTTCAAATCAATGACTTGAAGGCAGTATACGACAAAATAATGTCAGGTGAGGTGGCCTCACATATCACAGTCTTAAAACAGCTGCACTATCTCCGGGCTTCCACTTGAAACAGCTGCACTATCTCCGGGCTTCCACTTAAAACAGCTGCACTATCTCCGGGCTTCAACTCTCCGGGAACCAGACCCCTGCCGGGGCCGACTCCCCGAACTTGTCGCTGACCTTGATCCTCGCTGACCTATGACGTCTTCGTCCACGACGGTGTGTTTCTTTTTTCGTTGACCACACATTGATTTCAGCATATGCAAAATGGCTGTTGGTGCGACATTCATTTTCAGAAGGTCCATGATAATCCTGAAGTGTCAACGACAAACTGTTAAGGCAACAAACAAACTTTGTACAGATTTATGTGTGACACTGATACAATTTCATTGTTTCTGTGAAGTTGACATTAAGTAAAATCTGTAATGACTATTATCACTATTTGAGGGACAAACAGGATGTTTGCTTGTTTATTTGGTGTTTAGGCCGCACTCAGCAATATACCAGCTATATGACAGCTGTCTTTAAATAATCAAGTCTGGACTAGACAATCCAGTGATTGACATCATGAGTATTGATCCACACAATTAGGATACAATGACATGTATCAACCAATTCAGCGAGCCGGACCATCCGATCCCGTTCGTCGCTTCTTAAGACAAACATAGTTGCCTTTTAAGGCGAGCATGGGTTGCTGAAGACCTTTTCTACCCCAGATCTTGACAGCTAAAGAAACAGGATGTGGAACAATGAACATTATGAAGCTGTTTCGGGAATCTTGTCTTGTGAAATCACTCAACAATACAGCTTGCTCTCTCAACCAAGAAAACTATATTCTTTCAATTCAAATTCAAATGTTTATTGTATGAAAGGCTACAGGTCAAAACACATGAAATGCACACAATACAGTGCATGATCACAGGACAAATAGGTTCTCTTGTTTCATTTAAGTGCTCCTGAGGGCATGCTTCACATAGACAGATTCTAAAACTTCAAATATTGTGGTTGCCAGGAGGCGCGAAAATTGTTGGACTAAAGTCAAACAATCTCATTAAAATCAGAACTTGGTTCATGCTACCACTGAACAAAGATCTGAAGACATCCCATTACGGGTCACGTCAGAACGACCTTTCATCCGACTTATCAGAGCGCCGCTTACCAGATTATGAAAGTGACAGTGGGAATGTGATTTCTACCTCGAAATGGCTAACACTGGGTATTCCGAACGATAGTTATGTGTTTAATGACTGAATCCATACAATCTAGATCATCTATTAGCCATTCCAGAATGTTCTTTTGTTCAGGTTTCAAATTTGTAACCGAGAATTTGTCAAAATATGTTTCGAAGCGTCGTCGCCAATTTGAAATTGGTGCCGGAAAGCACGAGAAAGCTCCCTTCTGATTGGTCAATCCATTGGTGGGTCAAAGTTCGCTCAAGGTCGGTCCGACGTGACCCGTAATGGGATGTCCTCAGATCTTGGTTTAGCGGTAGCAAGAACTAAGATCTGATTTTAATGAGATTGAAAGTCAAATTACATATTATTTGGTATGTATTTCTTTCGAATGTCTTTTAAGGATGGACATATGAAGGTGAAATGATACAGAGCTCCAGATAACTTTTTGAGCAATTGAGTTTTTACTCCATTGTTTCTATTTTAATTGGGTTATTACATTTTTCATTGGGTAACCAATATTTTTTCACTCATCTATTCATCACTCTATTGGGTTTTCCCCAAATTTAGTGAACATTTTAAGATTAAAAAAAAAATGAAATTATGTTTTAGATGTTTATAACTGTTCTCACTATATAGGCTTGACTCGGAAAGTAAATAAGCTCGTAATTGTGTTTCCGAAATCAGCTCCTTTGTACACATGCTGAAAAAGCTTCATTGGGTATATTGCTTGTGCTGTTTTTATACATTTGATTTTTTTCATTTAATGCATGCATTTCTGTACGCAGGTTAATTGAAAGTAATTGGGTTTAGAATATTTTGGGGGGTATTTTACGCAAATAAGCTGCTTATCTGTAGCTCTGTACAGATCTTCGATATTGTTTAGATTACAACATGTACAGAATCTTTTAGATTGTGAAATTTTGTAGTGTCTCCCATTATCAATATCAAGCCTTGTAGGCATGCCCAATGTACACAAGGTAGACTCTGTTAAATTTTTCTCTGCTTTTTGGCTTATCTTAGTAAAATCAGATTTCCAACATTATTTTTTTCTTATTAAGGCTCTAAATAAAAAAATATTGCAAAAACATCTGTGCCAAGTTCCAGCTTAGTCCATGATAGTCATGCTGATAGTGAGTTAGTGAGTTAGGTTAAATGCCGCTTTGAACAGTATTCCAGTTATATCAAGGCTTGTCAGCTTAATGTGAGAGGAAACACTGAAGTGGTGAAACCTACGAGCACGGGTACAGTGCTGACAAACCTAGAAACATAATCAGGCACAAGGGGTGCAACTCTGTACAGCGAATTACTGCCACCTCATGTCAGTAAGTCTAGTTGCTGCACAATAGAACATGTTCACAACATCTGCCTACTCACTTAAACACGCTGGGGTCAAGGGTCACGCCTCCTAGTTGACCCAGCTCGTACAGCTCGGCCTCCTCTGGGGTCAGGATGTTTTTACTGAGGAGGGAGAACTGGAGGACCTGGCTGGAGGAGGTCATCTCGTCCAGCAGCCAACACAGGTGGTCAGTCAGAGGTCAAATTCACGGGCTGTAACATTAAACATGTTAAAAGTTATGATATCACGTCATAGGTGGTCAGTCAGAGGTCAAATACACGAGCTGTAACATTAAAAGTCATGATATCCCGTCAAGGGTGGTCAATCAGTGGTTTCAAATACGCTGGAAAAGTGAAACATCCTGATGATAAGATTGTTCTTATACAGTCGCAAGCCTTTGACTTTGTCAGCGGTATGTGTTAGTCAACACTGTATTTTATGGGAATGTTTGGCATACTGTTCGACTTTGAAACTGCAGGATTTCAGAATTGCATACATTCCTGAGGACATTATTTACACATTTTGTTTACAAGCAGTCGACACAAGCAAAATGTGGTCGATATTAAAGGTGAACATGGTGAATGTTGCAACAATTTACATGACGTCAGCAAAAACACCTCTTTAGAAAACGTCCAACTTTATGAGTAGTGAGGTGGGGTCCTGGTTATTTTTACGGATGACAAAGGTGTTGTGTACGTTCCTGTACCAGCAGATGGGTTGGATAGGGGATGTGGAGAGGGCTTGTTCTTCAAAATGGGTCCTGTAGATTTCTGTAAGGATGGGGGAGTGAGGGGATCCCATGGGGAGACCGTGGATCTGCTCGTAGGTGGTGTCTGCATATATACCTCTTATCACTTGGTTGTTGCTCCAGCTTGATAACATTGCCATATGCAATAAACCAGAAGTTGTTATCCATAAAGTTGTACGTTTCCTTACTTAACAGCCTTATCACCAACTTCTAGAATGCCAATCAAATAGTCAAACACCCCTTCACGATTCTTAGGGTCAGTTGTGAGGTCGGTTATGGGCATGATGGGTTAGCAATCTCTTTTAACATATAATTCCAAAGTAATCTGAGGAACCTCTGTACAATTTTTCTCAAGTTTCGACTTTCATGGAGAAAATGACTACCACACATGCGCATAACGGGAAACAATCGGGTGCTGCTGACTTGGTAAACAAGCACAATATTTTGGTGATAGTGCCTGTGGCCCCCAGGTAGGGTGTTGGCTAATTAGATTAACAAATTAGTCTAGCTTAGCTTCAAGCTGGCAATGTGAGTTTGATCCTCCAAGCGGCCCTATATAAAATGAAAAACAATGCACTACTCCCAAGTCAGGTAATGACAAATGGGTACTCAAGTCTATTTTTTGGTACCCATCACAGCCCTAAACAGTTTCCAAACAGCAAAAATATGAAAAGGGGATAAACTGAGATGTAAGCAGATGACCACAGAGCGTGGTGTTAATCTCCACCCTTCAAACATCACAGATCTGGAAAAAACAATGGCTTTATAAAAACATGTGAAACGAATGGCCCTCGCACTTTCGAAAATGTTGCAAATTCAGTACTTACATTTTTATACTATTAATTGTCATATACTCGTCACACAAAATGGGAAATGCACCGTATGATAGAGTACTGGGGCCCTTTACTTTCACCTATTAGTATTTCATATTATAGAGAATATCAACAATTCTTCAAGAAAATCTGGGCTAGCCCACCTTTTGCCTAACTTTTCCTAACCATGCTGACTGCATCAATATTAGAAAATAAAGCAACCTCATAGATAATAACTTACATCGAAGTTATAATCGGTTTAGCACACTGTTGCAAACATCTTCATCTTATCTCAGATAAACTCCATCAGTGAGTCAACTTACAATTTAAGTTTTCCGCATTTATCATAACCGGAAGTTGTAATGTATTTACCGGAAGTAGCGCAGCGATTCGTATTATGTACTACTTACTCAACAACTTATGTTATAACAAGTTCATTTTTGAGGGACAACATACCTCTGATGCTCATGTATTGTTTCTCCATTTGACACGTGTTTGTCATTCAGTGATAGAACTGGGCAATTCTAGTGTCTAGAATGGATTATCTTATGCTATTGGAACCACCGTGGTAAAGGGACGGCTTAGAGCTTCACCGTTGTAAAATAATAAGAGAAGCCTATCCCACCCACCCCACCCACCCATATATATACACACGCACAAACCCAACCCACCCTCACAGGTAGCACATTAATCCAGGAGGTCCCAGAATGAAGTTATCTTATTTCAGAATATATCTACAAAATATTTAATCAATTGTAATGTGGCCCGGAACAATGCTTAATTTCCTTATTTCCTTGAGCTGAGGTAATCTGCACTTGCCAGATCATTCTGGACTTGAATTGGATTCATTTTTTAATTTATTCTCTAGTGTCTGGGAGACAACAAAAATAACAAAAACGTTTATTTCGCTTCAAGGTCATAGCCTACATATTGAAGGTCCCAATTGTGTGGATCGATGACCATGATGTCAATCACTGGATTGTCTGGTCGAGACTCGATTATTTACAAACCGCCGTCATATAGCTGGAATATTGCGGAGTGCGGCGTTAAACAACAAATAAACAAACCAACAAACATATTGTAGGTAAAGCAAGGTTATGTCACGTGACACGGGGCACCAGACACACGTGCATCACGTGTAATCGGTTAGTGCTGCAACACACTCATGCATTTAATAAAAGATTTTAAGTTTTTCTTTTACAGATTGTGCAAGTTTTCTTTGTTCTAATAAGCTTCAGTATTCAATAACACATCGAGTCATATGGCACAAGGTCTTGTAAAATAATAATAATAATATATGATTTACCCAATTTATGGAAAAGGGACACATGTGATAGATATTAATATTCGTCAGCTAGGTTATTTTTTATTACAGTGACAACACATTCTGCCTTCCCGTGGAATGTTTTCCCATGGTCTCTTTTCTATTGGTAATCTAGGATTAGTGAATCTTATTTTAACATTCGAGATTCTAAATCTTAACGGTAGTGCCACCCGATAGCATCCTAGCTGTGTTTTATGTTTAAATAATCAGTATATACTGTCTCAAGGGAACTGTCTATTAAACTTGTCCATGTCTGGCCAAACTGATCAAAGATACGTTGTTTATAAACACATTTCAATACATTTTTATTTGGTCTAAATTGCTGGGTCCATATTTAACTTAAGCCTAATCCATCAAATAAACTTTTAACATATTCGAGCCATATATTTATGGTTGCAAGAGTGTGCAGATAATAAATTATACATAGCAGTACACGCGACCGACTACAGTGAGCGAGTGAGTGAGTGAGAGGGGTATTACGCCGCTTTTAGCAATATTCCAGCAATATCACGGCGGGGGACACCAGAAATGGGCTTCACACATTGTACCCATGACGGGAATCGAACCCGGGTCTACGGCGTGACGAGCGAACGCTTTAACCACTAGGCTACCCGACCGCCCCAGACTACAGTGAAGGCAGGGTAGGAGCCCTGTTCGTTTGAAGTCGCTTGTCTAAATATCAACATGTAAACAAAGAACTGTTGGTTTACATTAAAAACTATTCTACATCACACAGAGGGGTGCCTGTGATGTCGCATTCTGTGACCTTGTGACATCGTTTGAGTGTATTAAAAAAATATGTCTGGAAATCTATTGAACACTATCTGTTCTGCTGCATTATAAATTATATTACTCGTGCATACTTTCGGTGAAATAAATCCAGTTTGTGTGTTTATGCGTATGTCGCACATACTTTTTAATGTGGAATATATTATTTGATAATAAATGGATAAAATATTTATCCAAAAGACATTCGTCTAAACGAAGCTGTATAAGACTAACGCGAGGCTCCTTATACAAAATGCTAAAATGAACTTCACCTCAGAAATATTAGTAATTGCCTACTGTAAGTTAGACTAAAATCTAGTCTCTGAAATGAACATATCGTACATAAAAAAACAGTTGTTCAGTTATCTTAATAAAAATATAATAATTTTAAAGGAGCCCAGTGACTCTCTTCATTTTCAGATACTGCATTGATCTAGACTTGCCAAACATTATAGACTTGCATGGGCTGTATTTGATATATATTTGTATCAGGGTCTGTAAGACAGACTAACTGTAAGTGTACGACATTACATATGAATTTAGTCAGAAATACTTGGTACCATTTGATCTATTTTATCGTCTCTGTTGGTTCTATGTACCCTCATCTCATAAAGAAATATGGTCCTTTAAATGTTGTTGTTTTTTAAATGCAGTAGGGAGCTCGTCTGTGCGTTATTAAATTGGGATGTGAGCATTAACTTTACACATGTACAAAGAAAACGTCAGCAGAATACTATCTCATTTCTACACCAATATAATAAGTTGTGCATCAAATATTCTCTATTCCAAATCCGGCCATTTTGGGCCACGGTATCTTGCGTGACATGGACTGATATTATTTGTCAAAGACTTCAATTGTCAAAATTGTCAACAACACACCAAATACTAAACAGAGTTCTGACAGAATGTCGGACTCGAAGCCACACCAGTCTCAGTACCGAGGCTGGCTCTACAAGTGGACGAATTACCTGAAAGGTTACCAGAAGAGATGGTTCGTTTTGCAGAATGGACTTTTGTCATATTACAGGTGTGGTAATTAATTTATTTGAATGTATTATTTTTGTTTTAACATTTTAACAAACTAGTATATTATGCTGCGTGACAGTTTTGCATAAGGGGCGTCTAGTCTTCAAGATAGACTACTCGAAATAGTCATGGAATCATTAATTTTGAGAAAAAAATCTGGTTCCAGACATTTCATATCCTCAGTTGTTGTTATCGTGGTTTTGGGTTATGGTGACTTTGATAGACTGAGGGGATAGTATATACTATGCCAGTACTTACCTTTATGTACTGTAGGAAATTTTGCATTATTTTGCAATTGATCAATTTTGTGTGTTGTGATAGTATGACTGGCTTGTCTACATACATGGTCAAATAACTGTATAACTGACTATTGCACCTTTCATTATGGTTTTTGACTATAATACAAGGGATGGTTGGTGGAGTAAGTACTATCAAAGCTCAGCAATTCAAACATGTTTTGTATACTATCTATGACAGCTGTCAAGTGATAACTGCCATGGTCTTGGTACCACAAAATGGCTCATCAAAACATATGTGTCGGAGCTTGAAGAGGTATGAGACAGACAGGGAATGAAACTGTATAATATTGATGAACCAACATCTATAACTCTATCATGTTGACAGAGCACTTTTAGCACAGTCATGGCATATATCATGTATATCCCAAAACATGCACATCAGTGTTAGAAACTAACAGTTTCAGTCCACTAGTCCTTATAATGATAACATATAGCAAAACCTTTTAAAAAGGCAAATTCCTACTAGTTGTTATGATCAGATACCTTTGGTATTGGGCAGTTTGACAAGGACTATGGGACTAGTGCCAATTTCTAACGCTGCATATGGTGCAGGAGAGGAAATATGATGAATATGAACATGATCAGTGATGATAAACACAGTGATAAATGGGCATGGATGCACATGATATCCACTAAAGGGATTCACTGCATGTTTTATATCAAATACATTCGCAATGATCTTGTGATTGTGCTTTGACTGTTTCGTGCCAGTTGTGTCAAATACACACTTTCATAATGATAACAATGTGCATATATATAATAAACCCCATATGTCATGTATGTTATGCCCCAAACTATCGATTAATTATTACCATGTCAATGTATCGGTTATTTTCATACTTAGTTCCCTGGGATGTATGAGGTGTTTGAAATTGGCACTAGTCCTGTGGTCTTTGCCAAACTGCCCAATAGTTTAAGTATCATATGGACCAGAAGAAATTTGCCATTTTTAAGGGTTTTGCTATTTGTTATCATTATAAGAACCAGTAGAGTAAAATGTTAGTTTCTACCACTGTCTATACAACCCAAGCTGTCTGAATTATTTTTGACCGATTTAAAAAAACATGATTTGTTGTCTTTTTTTTTTGGTGGGTAAATGATGACCAAGCTCAAGGGACATTTCCCTGGATCTGCTGTTAGCGTTATATAAGCAGGAATAATCATGTGTACAATGCCAATCACTGCTGCTTGACCATGGTTAATTGACCGCTGGATGGGATGTTTAGTTAATCAGTGGGGCTGTTGAATATGCTGATTGTCCTGATTGATAGTCAGACTGCTGGTGTATGATGCAATCAGCTAGATAGTAGTCATTAGTGGACAGTGTCAGCCTCTTCACATTACTTCAGGCACAGTGTTCCAAATTAACAGAGGTCCTGAGGGTCCACGACTCTGGGGACCCCATAAACATGATAAACAAGCTGTAATAAATTGGTTATGCTGTGGGTGAAGATTTGTGGATGCTTCAGTCACGTTAGGAACAGTATCTTTTGAATTTAGATAGCTTCTTCAGCAGTTTTAGTGTTAGAAATTAAGCATGAAAGAAAAGCAGTCCTTGTCATAACCCTAATGTTAAAACAGGGAATTTAGAACATGAAAAAGGGGGACAGAGGACACTGAGGTTGTTGCAATAGTATTTGCATCTAAATTAATTGTTTGATAGGTATACTTACAGACCTCAAAGTTGCGACTAAAACGGTAGCCAATGTGACCTAAATTTCAGTTTGTCTACTGTCTAAAGGTAGCCAAATGACTACCTGGCATGCCTAAAAATATCTTATGGTGACTAAATTCTATTGCTACACATCTGTAGACACAAAAATAAATAACAGCTGATATTGGAAAACATGTCTCCTAATAATTGTACTCGCAAATAATTGCTTCTAAAGTCGACAGTGAACTAAAATACGTAAAAATTAATGTAATTAGCACTTTATTTTAGATGGCAATGCTCATTGGATAAGCGAGGATATACTTATATAATCTAGTAACATATACTGCATCATTGTTTAAGTCACAAATAACAAAATTTCAAGTACAGTTTCCATTAAGATACAATTTCAAGACTAGTGCTGTAACTTGTCCATATTATAATAGTTATTTGAGAGAGACTGAGGTTTGTTGCAATAGTATTTGCATCTAAATTAATTGTTTGATAGGCATTACTTATAAGTTGACAGGTGACAAAGTAGACACAATTTATGGATGACAACTTCTTTAATCATGTTAATTACTGTAAAGGTGACATTTTGGTATAGATCCTTATTCCATTGTTTTCTTTCATTGCTTGACATTGGTATAAGGATCTATACCGAAACGTCACCTAATCCACAATTTATGGATGACAACTTCTTTAATTACTGTAAAGGTGACATTTTGGTATAGTTCCTTATTCCATTGTTTTCTTTCAATGCTTGACAACGGTATAAGGATCTCTACCGAAACATCTCCTTTACAGTAAAAAAAGAAGTTGTTATCCATAAAGTGTTTGTTATTTGCATCTTGTGACCCATATCTTCAGTGTTTCATATTCTGGTTAGGGTAACGATCCTTTGATTTTCATGGTTTAATTTCAAACACACACAGTGTCAGTGTTAGTGGTGGGACGATTCCACTTCCCGATACAAGTATCGATCACAGTTGCACACGAAGTAAAAAGTATCAATCCTTACCTTAAATGTATTCTTAAATAAATGTTACACCAAACACTAATTAGTAGTGAAAGTGAGTAGTGAAAAAGTAAATATTTTCATCCATTGATCCATACTCGACACTGCGTACTGTAAATCATCAGTGTGTCAGGTATTTGAATATCCTATCTATGTAAAAATATGGGTTACACACTACAGATACAAGCATATCACAAATATCTTGATATGTATCAGATCGTGAGCAAGGTATCTTGATATGTATCAGATCGTGAGCAAGGTATCGTGATATGTATCAGATCGTGAGCAAGGTATCGTGATATGTATCAGATCGTGAGCAAGGTATTGTGATACGTATCAGATCGCACAGCTGGTGTATCATGTGTATTGTCCCAACCCTCGTCAGTGTACTGCAATAACTACGAGTTATACCATTTGGTGGTTTTGTGATGGTAACAAAGCTGCTGTTACTGACTATTGTTTCTCATCATGCTCATCTTGTCATCTGCCTGATCTACTCCATCATCACCAGCACCATACAACTTGTCACAGTTACTAGAATCACATGACCCACAGTACACCTAGTCGTCCGTGCCAGGACATGTTGGTCCATTTAACATGTTTAACATAGCATAGGAATTCACAACATGTTGCAACAATAGGATTTATCTTTGATTCTAGTCTAAGTGCCCCTGGCAGGCAAAGATTGTTTTGTTCAAAATTGGGATTTTAAGAAGTTTGTATTTTCTTAAATTCAGAGGTATTTTAACAATGTATTTTAATAGTTTGTTCAGTGCAGTAATAGAAAATTTAGTATTAACACACCTTCCTATTTATTGGTCCTGTTATCAGTGAAACACAGGTTATCTTGAAAAAGTCATGTTAGGTATTAGTTAATTATGTTAACATAAAATGGGAAATGTTTAGTTCCAAATTGGGATTTTTTAGTGATATTTGCAGCTGACTTGGGGCTGTATATTGGTCTCTGAGTAGGTCTAGACAAGTCCCTGACAGTGTAGTGGATTGCATTTGAAAATAATTGTGATACAGTTTACAGCTGTAAGTTGTGCTGTGTTTGACCTTGCTAGGTGATAATTGAAGTGATGTGACTCACTGACTTCTGTGATCCATTTGTGACACAACACGCCTCTCCTTAGTCCCTTCCTCAAACATGTCAAAGGTGGCACAGGTGGCCCAGTCGTCTTAGGTGCCGCGATTCGCTCTGCAGAGTTGCGTCCCTTGGGCACGCCAGAAACCTATGATTGTGGGTTTGAATCCCGGTTTGCCCCATTATGTTTCTAGGTTTGTCAGCACAATACCTGTGCTCGTGGGTTTCACTGAAGTGGTAAACGTCTGAGACCTGCATCACTTCGGGCTTTCCTCCCACATTAAGCTGCCACGTCGTGATATAACTGGAGTACTGTAAAAAGCGGCGTTAAACCCAACTCACTCACTCACTAAACATGTCAAAGGGGAGCCTCACACATCACCATGATCACAAGCATAATCATGATAATGGAACTAACTTTCTTTCGGGGGTATATAGTTATACCAAGGGTCCGTCCGTCCGTCCGAAAACTTTGTCAGCGCGATTTCTCTTAAACTATTCAGTGGATTCATCTCAAACTTAGTACATATAATCTGTGTCATATAGAGGGGTGCAGTCAAAAGAAGAAAAAATGTTTTTATTTATTTTCCATTTTTTCAATGAATTTTTCAAACCCTAACCCTATCCATTATTTAATTGGAAACTACTGACACACTAGGTGGGTCGGGGGTATCAGTGAGCCACGCTCACTTTTGCCCTTGTTTTATGATGAATCAAATTATCCTAATTAGGAGTGTATTGATGTATTGCAATTGTCTACGATTGTACTGTATCAGTAGGAAGTTAAAAAATGTCAACGTGACTGTTGATACTATGAATGACAATTGGTAGATTTAAAGTCACAAATAGCTATACATAAAACATAAATTATGCATAAGAAAACATAGTAACATAGTATTTCCATTCAAATTTCATACCAGCCGTCTGTTGATGAGAAAGGATTACG